CAACTACTGAACCTTATATATTTACAAGTTTACATGTCAAATATTATTCAAACATTTTACACTGTCACTTATGACTTTTAAAATTTAGATTATTGAAATGAAGGGGAAAAGTGAAGTTTTCTTCTTTTTAAATAATTGTATTCTTAGTCTGCAGTAAAATTATTTGTTCCTCAAATATGATGTAAAAACGTATCACATATCATGATTAACATAAAATTCCATATAATATCAGATTTAAAATGACAAACTGACAGATCATTTACTATGTTAGTGTTAAAGATTGTAACACCCCCCCCTTTCTTCCACATCCTTTTTAATCTGCTTTTGAGATGGGCCCCATGTAAAATTTGATCCTTATTTCTTTCCATGGACGTGCAGACTGAAATGTAGTTCTAAACAACAAGGGAATGCTGTTTCCCCTCAAGTATTAGCGACCATACATACATGTACAATGATAGTGTAAGCACCTTCCTAACAGCCCTGGGTGCTCCAACCAAATCAATAGCCACATACAATTGCTCAAGGCAAATCATTTAATGTGTTCATGTCAAGTTACTGTTCAGACATGTTTACACAGACATCAAAGTTTGCACTAATTATCCAAATTTCTTTTAATTTTATTGTAAGTCAGATTAGCAAATTACCAAATGGCATTCCATTTTGTCACCTTAAGTTTGTATCCCAAATCTTTACCAAAGAAAGCACTAGCTTCTTTACTTTCTTCAAAAAAGTCAGAAAATCTTGTACACCCCCCCCTTTTTTTTTTAAATTAAAATAAAAGTTAAACTAAACTAGTATGTGTTAACTACTTTCTAAGAATTCATAAAGATTATAAGTTTGTTGTGAAAAAATCTGGGACAGCTTTTAGTTGCATCATGTGAGACTATTGTTAGATCAATGCAAGTCCCCTGTACATACTAGTGTGTGCATTTTAAATGGTGGTGCTGGGAGAGACTTGATTTATATTGATTGTGTAGATGACATCTGTTGATAGCTGAATCAATACTACCTATGGAATCCACATTGCTCAAACAAAACATAAAATTTGAAGAAATACAGAAAAAAAATGTTTATGTATCATAGAGGTAAGATTACAGTAGTTGAAAGTTTTTGCCGAAGTAAATATGAATGAAGGGGTAAATGGAAAAATGTTGTCCATCACATACTGTAAGAAACTGTCTCTTTTTTGGGGGGAATGTCAAAAATACACCCACAGGGTTGTCCCTAAGACCCAGGGAATTTTCCCTCCTATAATGATGTTATATATCCCAAGTTAATCTGGCATTCCCCCTCAACCCCCTGTTAGGGGAGGAACCCAAGAGCCCCTTTTACTTCTTTAATTGTCCCCTGCTATTTCAATTCTGCACCCATATTGTAAGAAACTGTCTCCAATTCAGAGAGATGGTCAAAAATACACCTAACTCCCACACTTGAAAGAAACTGTCTCTGTTTTGTAGAGATTGTCAAAAATACAGCCATACTGTAAGAAACTGTCTCTGTTCTGTAGAGATTGTCAAAAATACAGCCATACTGTAAGAAACTGTCTGACTGTTCTGTAGAGATTGTCAAAAATACAGCCATACTGTAAGAAACTGTCTCTGTTTTGTAGAGATTGTCAATAATACAGCCATACTGTAAGAAACTGTCTCTGTTTTGTAGAGATTGTCAAAAATACACCCATACTGTAAGAAACTGTCTCCGATTCAGCGAGATGGTCAAAAATACACCTAACTCCCATACTGTAAGAAACTGTCTCTGTTTTGGAGAGATTGTACACCCACACCATTTTGGGATTTTTTGGGAGAGGAAACTGTCAAATCTCAATATGTAGTATGAAAAAAAATGACTTAATACTTTAACTGCGAAAATAAAGCAGATGATCTATTAGGCTTGAGGTAATGATAGGTGAACTTGTAATTTATTGTTTCTTTGTATGTTGTTTAACGTCCCTCTCGAGAATTTTTCACTCATATGGAGACGCCACCACTTGCCGGTGGAAAGCTGCAAATTTTGTCCTATGCTCAGCACTTACGGCCATTGAGCAGTGAGGGATCTTTTTCGTGCCAACACCTATGCGACACGGGACTTCGGTTTATACGGTCTCATCCGAAGGACTGGTCTCCACGTCCCACAGTGGGATTCAAACCTGCAACTTAAGGATCAGCTCCTTGCCTCGCAACTCTAGAGCAGACGCTCTAACCACTGCGCCACGCGGGGGACAACTTGTAATTTACACCATTCAATAATCACTTCTCCTGATGTCCTACAGTGACTGATCAAACTGAGCCCGAGTTTGATTATTGGCGAGTTACTGTGACCATGTAATTGTAAAGGAAATAGGTGCTCATCCTGGACAATCTACAGCAATGTTCATCTAATGGAGTGAAGCACTCTGTATCACACACACTAGATAACAGGAAGGCAAACACTATATCACTCTTGTTTAAATTGCATTACATTTGTCTTCTTAATATTTTATTTTGAATTCCCTTCTGTTTTTTTACTCAAGGTCAATGGTAAACCTGAGTGATTCAAATCCAACAAAAATTTTGAATCAGTCCAGTAAAAAATTCAATCAAAAACTTTTAGTGTAAAAGTACAACTTAAAAATACACTATAATGTGCATGTCTCAATGTCAATTGATGATTTAAAAAAAATGTTTGCAATTCAATTTGATGCAATTGTTAGCATTATCCAGCTGCCACTGCTAGTATACTAGTGCTCTTTTAATCTACAAAAGTATAAGTAGTGCTCTTTATTGTATCACCACTTTTTGCTTGTCTTTTGAAATCTGAATACATGTTTTCTTTAACCTTATGATTTGTTTCTTTTTTAAAATATATCGTATTGAAAAAATTGAATTGTGACACAAGTATCGCGATACGTACCGTATCGTGGAGGGGGCGTATTGTTTCAGCCCTATCCAACACCCACAGATACTACATTTTGAATTGAACTAGTATTAAACATGATCTTGGCAGTTCGAAGTACTTAAGTGGCATCCAGTTAACCATGTACCAAATGTGCTGAAGTAAACTTGAAAAAATTTCCATCCCTTTAATGTTTTAGAAACACAGTAGATCAATCGTAATATTAAACTATGATGAAGATGAAACAAAATGCATTTATAAATCTTTTTAAGCAAGAAAAAAAAAAAACAAGACAAAAATGTGCACACTCATCAAATAGTGTTGTTGAAAACCATTGGTCCTGTTGGCAAGGTCAGTAAAACATTGTCTGGAATGTTCAATAACTTGCAAGAAACGTCTGTGCAAATGATCGTTTGAAAAAAAATTGGGCAGGATGGGCAGGATGCATATTTTTAAAAGATTGGGATTGGGGTGGGCACGTGAATCAGGGCTCTACATTAACTTTTTTTTCCTACTTGTCCATTTGGACAAGTGACCAAGATATTTACTTGTCCGAAAATTTTTCAATACTGTCAACTTGAAAACTGAAGTCCATTACATGTGCTTGATTGATTATAAATACAGCAAACACATTAAACAAAAATTTTATCTAGATTTTCTGTCCTGATAACAACATAAATGTTCACATGAAATTGTCAACATCAAACAGAATCCAAACTTCGTAAGTTCCATGCCTTTGCAGTAGTATGCAATTAGTGAACTTCGATCCTGATCGAGTGTACTCAATTTCATAGCAATCTATATCGGGATTGAAGTTCGGTTTTTATGTAATGCTTCCGTCTTTAAACTACCGGAAAACTTTCAACAGTCATTCTTTTATTATTTGGAGACTTCTTTACGTTAAAATTCACTTGTCCGTAATTTTTTTTCACTGGTCCCAGACAAGCATTAATGTCAAGCCCTGTGAAGGTCACAAAAACAGCAGAGATGGCCACATGGTGACATTGGTCACTCAAATTTGTTAAAGCAGAAATATGAATCATATTATCTATGTCTCTGATTAAAGACTCTCTATCCTAAAGAAAAGAAAATTGTGAGATCGATGCTTTTGAAAATAATAAAAGGCAATTTGATTTTTTTTCTGTACAAAATAAGGTACATGTATCTGGTCTGACAAAACTTTGTTAGATCCTACAGAACCTTTAACTGATTTAAAAATTTCAACAACTCTGTATTTATAAGTAGTATGATCATCACTTCAAAAGGAAACAAAAGTTTCAGCAGAGTTGGACAACGTGAAATTGAAGGTGAACTGAATATTATAAAGTGTAAATTAAAATAGTACCTTATAGTTTCATTTGAAGAGTATTAAATTATTGCTAGTTCATTTCTGCTGGGGCTAGTATTTGCTTGCACACTAGCTCACGACTAGTGTATAGAAAACTTTGTTGTGACCGTTTATGTCATTGGGAAATTTTAAGAGTGTGGCAAGTTTTATTCACACAAAAGAAACACCTGGTATTGTGCAACACTTCACAAAGTCCGCATACACATAAAAGCAAGTTTCTAGATCTACCTACAGTCACTCTTGAAATTTGGTAATACACTTGTGGTATTAACTAAAGCTACGTTGTATTGTTTACCTTCATATATAACAAAGAAAGAACAACCTCGTAATATTACATACACTATGATGTTACACTACACCTGAGGCAAAGACATGTGCCAAATCATTTTAATAACGAGTTTTGATACAATCCCTTGCATTATAAATAATGCATGGAAAAAAGGTTCAGTAATGTTTATTAAACCCAATTTCTCTTCTAAAATAATATTATATCCTGCTTATGACTTTTCATGAAGAGAAATTGAATATTTGCCTGAAGAAATGGACTCACATTCCAGAAACGAAAACTCAGACCACACCATAACGGGCTAAGAACTTGATTACACATGAACAGCCCCTCACAAGTAAACACGCAAACATAGAGTCAACAAAAAACGTACTCAACGCACTTGTTTCGGACATAAAAAAGTAAAATAAAAAAGTAAACCGGCAATTGAAAGTCCTAGAAGTCACAAGAACTTTTAGTGAATTGAATGGGGTGTGAGAAGATAGGAAAACTCACCGACAAATCGGAGCGACTGCTGTCTCGCGAGGACACTGCTCGTACAACGCCTGACCGCCATTCCCATTCGCTAATCTTGCCAAGTTTTAACTTTGCCTGGCTTTTTACGGAGAGAAATCTCTTTCCAACTATTTCCTCCCTGCACTTGAAAGCCATACTTTCAGTTAACACTCATTTTCACATAGTAATCCGTTTAGAAATCAGCAAAAAATCGAGAGATAATTTGTAGGGATTTCTCCAGTCTCTGATTACGTAGCGGATGAATACCAAACACAAAGTTTGACATTTGGGTCAAAAGGTCAAACTTTACAAAAATATCCGATACAAAATATAGTTCTGTAAGATTAATCTATTTTACAGATATTTCCGATTTTTTTAAAGAAAAAAAAGTACTACTTAAGTAAATATTAAATTATTTTGGAACAACTTTATATGTTTCTCAACAACAATTTAATAACATAAAAGTTAAAGTGATGCATAGCCATAACACGTTGGGCTTTTAGGTTTATAGAAATAAAACTCTGGTTTTGTGCTGTTGTTAATAAGATAAAACTGAATATATGTATTTAAGTTTTTCCAAATATTTTTTTTAAATGAAAGTTTCTTTTCGAATCCATTGGTGCATGTAAGAGCAGTGCTTGCGCTCGTGAACCCCTCTGTGCGTATTGTTTTGGTTTTAGCCTCCCCTTACCTCAAAAATAATCCGACAGGTGGCCCTGCGAAACGTGTTCATAAATGGTAACTTACAAAGTTGCCCAGTGATGAAATTCTGTTGTATTTGAAGACATTTTGTGTATAAAGTTTAATCATGATATCAGTCCTTTTGTCAAGGATTGTTATGTAAGTATTCGTCACTTTTTAATATGGTTTGAGGATCAGAAATTTGAACCAAATTGATTCAAAAATTATTACTAGATCTAACCAGTCGTAATTCGAATCATCACTTTGATTTAGTTATAGGCCTAATTTGCCATTTAACGCCGTTTTATACCTAGTTGTTATAAATTTAAAATTATTGCCTTTTGTTGTAACTTAGTTAGAGGAGAAGGTGTTCATCATGCTTATAGTGATGGCTAACAGCTGATCTGAACTGGGTTTGTTTGTACTGAACTTCTGGATAATATTGAAAGACATGAACTTACAACCGAAAAGAAAGTTGAATAACAAAGGTTTTTTCAGCAACTGATGTTTTTTATCTGTTAACAAAATTACATGTGCAACATATATATATCTATATATGAAGGTCCCTGCTATGTGGATGTAAAATTACACAATGCTCATTAGAAATTCAAATTCAAATTGGAATCCAGTATAATATTAAGGGGAGTTAAAAATAATTACAGTCAAACCTCATTATCTTGAATTTGATGGGGCTGTGAAAAAACTTAGGGATGTCAGAGGATTTGAGATATTGAGTATAAAACACTTAAAGAAGAATGTAGGACTTTTAACTCACTCTGATAGGGTTAGGGTTATGTATATATCCATGGTATTTGAGATGGTGAAGTTGAACTCTATGCTTGTATTTTGGGATGGAGATGTCAAAGTTGAACTGTATACTAGTATTTTGGGATGGAAATGCCAAAGTTGAACTGTATACGAGTATTTTGGGAGGGAGATTGCGAAGTTGAACTGTATAGTAGTATTTTGGGATGGAGATGCCAAAGTTGAACTGTAAACTGGTATTTTGGGATGGAGATTGCGAAGTTGAACTGTATTCTAGTATTTTGGGATGGAGATTGCAAGTTGAACTGTATACTTGTATTTTGGGATGGAGATGCCAAAGTTGAACTGTATACTAGTATTTTGGGATGGAGATGTCAAAGTTGAACTGTATACTTGTATTTTGGGATGGAGATTGCGAAGTTGAACTGTATACTAGTATTTTGGGATAGAGATGCCAAAGTTGAAATGTATACTAGGATTTTGGGATGGAGATCGTGAAGTTGAACTGTATATATATATATTTGTATTTGGATGGAGATGGAAGGTGTATGGATATGAGATTCGCTGACAGGCTACAACAAATACCTTTCAACCCCCCCTTTCTTTCACCTACCCTAACAAAGTACCATCCCTTCGGCTGATAGCCTGATATGAATGAGTTGTCAGAATCAATTCAGGATAATTAAAATATATAACATGTTATACCCACAGTGTGTTCACACTCTAACTTTGTGTAGTATGTTAACAGGAATTTCAATTTTTATATTTATATTAAATTGATAGTTCTCTGATGTTATATAGAATACGCTGAAAGATTTTCAAATTTATGTTCAAACTTGCACATACATGTATTCTTAACTTTTAGTGCATTATGATGTCAAACTAATCAATCAAAATACATGTAGTGATAATATAAGCTTTCCAATTTATACAACTGCAAAAATTCCAAACTTAAAGCTAATCAGGACAATTGAATAAGCTATGTACTTTGTAGCAATCTCAGGGGGTTAGGTTGACCTATTACTGTAATTGGAAGACTTTGGTTAGCATGTAAGATCTGTATATTGTGTCTCCCTCACTTTGAGGCATGTATTCACACCTGGGGATCTGAGTGTGTAGTTATGATGCTATTGCAAATCTATGCATCAGGAATGTATGACCTTTCCCTACTGGCATGGTCTCAGTGTCATGTATATTGTGTCTCCCTTATTCCTAGGCATGCAATTACACCTGGAGTTCTGAGTGTAGTCTGACATTGTAGATAGATGATGCCTATCCTAAGGCAGGTTCACTCTTGTGTGATATGAGTCTGTGTGTAACATGTGTTTCACACACTCCATTACTGTCAAAACATCCTACATTAGTACATTGTATGTAGTATGGGTGTGGAAATTGAATGCAGCACTTGCAGCTATGTCATATGAAGTGTAATTCCAAACAGTCTTCTTTGTTGGAAGGAAGTGCTTACAGGGTATCGATGAAGTTCAAGGCCAATTGAGTAATTACTGTACCTTAAATCAAATATTTAGATATTTTGTTTTTCTGCCTTTGAGGAAGTCCTTGTAATGAATGATCTTTACTCCTGGATTAAGGTTGAAATGTATAATATATCAGGGATTGGGTTAAATCATTATCTGTTAAATCAGCATGGACTTTAGGTGGAAGGGGGAATCAATGAGGAAGGGGGAAAATTATTTTTGTGTGGTATTACAATGAGCATAAACTTCAAAATAAAAGAATCTATTAGATCAGGGAATGGGGTTAAATTGATATCTCTTGTATGATGATGAGAGAGGGAAAGAGCCCATAAGGCATAAAGTCACATTGAAACAGAGACTAATAAGCATGAGAGTTAGATAGATCTGTTGTTTGACAAGCCAGACATCACAGCAAGGGAGATAGAGAGAAAGGGGAAGAAAGAAAGAGAGAGATCATGGGTTAGGTTATGTTTAGAGTAAATCATTCAGCACATACAATGCGTGAGATGTATAAGTGATGAATTATCTGCTTTACTCTGTAACACATCTGATAAGAGCCACACAGAGCTGAGAGTTCTGGCTGTGGGGTGGAGACTGATAGTGATGTGTCTTACAGCACGTGTTATATGATAATGAGGGAGATACTGATTATCACACCAGTGTTTGTGTGTGTAGTTTAAAATCTTTGTTTTAGTGTGTGTGATATATCATGTACATATGTGTTTATTTGGGAAGTTCATCATAGTAAACATAGTAAACAGTGTACTTTCTCAGATGTGGATTGATGAGTGAGAAAAAGGAAGTTTTCATTCAGCTTAATTTAATACCTATAGCTATATAGCCTATATTATATGAAGATTTACTGTGCTGGACAATGAGTTAAGAATGTTCATCACCTATACCTGTTGATGATGTCCTATAAGGAGATCTGTTACAGATGTATAGCCATCATCAGTCCTGTATTTTATGTGTTTTGTAGACTCGTCTTTGGCCTTCTATATCCAGCTTATGCTTCTTTCAAGGCCATCCGCACCAAGAATGTTAAGGAATATGTGAGTACTTCAATTGATCTTTTGTTGATAAAACATATATCAATTTAATAAAAGCCCTATCCAAGTTTCTACCAGACACTGTTATTAGCTCACCTGAGCCAAGGTTCAAGTGAGTTTTTCAGATCAAATTTATTTCTTTTGTCATCATCATTGTTGTCATCAGCATTGTTGTTGTTGTAAACTTTTTACAATTTCATTTCCTTCAGAACCACTATGCCAATTTTAACCAAACTTGCCACATGTTGGTTGTTCATATGAAGAACCTGAGTTCCATCTTTCAACTGAGATAATTTAGTAAATTGAGAAAATGAAACTTAGGTGGAAGCTTCCTGATATTATTTATAATCCAAGTAAAGAATCATTAGTTTGTTCAAATCATAACAACCACAGGTAAGATGAGGCCAAAATCAAATATGGAAGCATCCTCAGGTAGTGCAGATAAAAGTTTGTTCAGTTCATGGCCTCAAGGTATAGGGTGGGACAGCAATAGGGGATCATAGTTTACATGGGATTATATATATATAGGGAAAAAAGTTTAAAAATCTTCTCAAGAACAGCATGACCATGATCAGTAATATTAGATTAAAAGTATACACAGGTAGTACAGATTCAAAGATTAACATGGGAAAATAAAGAAAAATATTTTAAAATGTTCTTTACAAGAACAGCAGAACCTTGATTAGTGATATTAAACTGCAAGCACCCAAAGGAAGTGCAGATTCATTGTTGTTCAAATCATTGCTACCAGGGTAGGGTAGGAGATGGGTATATATCGGGCCAAAATAAATCACATTCGTAACTGAATTTGATGTCCTGGGTTATATTACATTAGTTATGCTGTTTTACAGTTGAAGTGTACTGGGTTGTATATAACTTTAGTTATGCTTACAGGTTAAGTGTACTTTGTTCTCTTTAATTATTCTGTTTTACAGGTAAAGTGGATGATGTACTGGATTGTATTTGCCCTTTTTAGTGCAGTAGAGACCTTCACTGATGTCCTGTTGTCTTGGTATGTGATATATTCTATGATGCTGTTATATCTTACCAACATTTTTTTCTATCTTTTTTTCATCCGCCGTGCATAAACATTGAAACATTTTCAGCTTCTTCTCTGAAACAACTGAACCAATTTCAACCAACTTTGGCAATATTATAGCATATATGGGTGAAGGAGAATAAAATTATGAAATTCTTGGTCCCCCCCCCCCCCCCCCCGGGCCTGAGGGGTGGGGGCTAAAACCATCAAAATAAATGCAATCTTTAAAAAAATTTCTTCTTTACTCCTGGACATTAAGCAGCCAAACTGTTGGCTTGATTGTAATAAGCATTGAACCCTCTACCAAAATTGTGAAATTCATGGTCCCAGGGTCAGGGGTTCTGGTGCTAGGGTGGGGCATTGTTGAATATATAGTGAAAATGCATTAATTCTTTGAAAATCTTCTCCTCTGCTCCTGGGTATTAAGCCGATGGACTTTGTACACTTATTTATGATGAGCAAGGTGCTTCTTTTAAAATTGTGAACTTTATGGCCTCTGGGTCAGGGGTTCATAATTTTGCCAACAACTCCATACCCAGTGATTGTGCTAAATTTTGAATATGTCAATTTATGAACACGTACAATATCTTTGGATAAAGGAGACTCAAATTTGTTCAAATGAAGGGCCAAACCTTTTTTTAAGGGGAGATAGTGAAGAATTAGTGAAAATTTTATGGCATATTTTCAAAAATCTTCTTTTCAAGAATAACAGGGTCAAAAAAGTTGAAACTTGCGTGAAAGTGTAGATTAAAAACATGATCCCCTGTGGGTAAGGTAGGGCCACAATGGAAGATCAAAGTTTCACTTAGGAATTTATTGGAAAATACCTTTAAAAAATCTCCTTTTCTCAAGAATAGTAATAATATGATTAGTCATATTGATGTGGAAGCATCCTCAGGTAGTGTATATTCAAGTTTGTTCAAATTATTACCCCCGGGGATAGATTTGGGTCACAATGGGCAATCAAACATCAATCAAAGGATTATACAGAACAATATCTTTAAAATTCTTATTCACAAAAAAAGAGCAAAGCCTTGATTAGTCATCAGCTGTGACGTTCATATTGATATGGAAGCATCCTCAGGTTCTATAGATTCACATTTGTTTAACTCATGACCCCTAATGGGGCCAAAGTGAGTTACAAAATTTAAAATGGGCGAAGTGTATCATTTTGTGAGCTCATTCACAGTACCTCTATTTTGTATTTGGAGGGTAAAAGAAACTTTATTGGTTGTGTCTTTTGCAGGCTACCATTTTATTATGAAGTTAAGATTCTGTTTGTTGTATGGATGTTGTTACCGGTAACCAAAGGATCCAGCTACCTCTACAAAAAATTTGTACACCCCCACTTAGCCAAACGAGAAAAGGTAATACAATACACCCCCCCCCCAACCTAGGGTAACACAGTACACCCCCACTTAGCCAAACGAGAAAAGATAACACAATACACTAGGGCTGGGACGATTCAGGGTTCAATCGATTCAGTTTGGTTTCGGTTCAGAATGATACGGTTCAGGTTTTTTTGATTCGGTTCGATTTAACCTAAAACAGTCTTAATATTTCTCATCATAAATGAAAAATGATAACCTCTGCTTTAAAAACTGATTAAAATCCTTTACTGCAGTCTTCATAAAAACTTTTCTGAGACACTAACAAGTGAGGCTAGTGGATTTGACATTTTTACTAGCTAAAGTAAAATTTCTACTAGCCCAGAAAAATAATAAAATTTGAAACCATTTGTTGTATTATGTTATTCCATTTCATAATGAATTACTCTTCCTCTCAATATTTCTTCTGCTTATTTTCTTATTTTGTATTTTTCTTCTGAGTCAATGATAAATAAATAATCAGAGAAACTATTTAAGGCTGAATTTAATAGAATGAACAATCATGCTATAGATACCTTTTAACATGGTGGTATACATTCATCTTTTTTTTTTCTGATCATTGAACTTCCTCTTCCAAAATGAAATGAAAGCTAGGTGATTTATTTTTTTTTAATTCAAATTTTCAGAAACAATGTTAATTATATTTTTGATAACCCTTGTAAATCTTCAGTTAATTAGTTGAGTAGTTGGAAATAATTAAATTAATTAATGTGATATCTACATGTATTTTCCATAAAATCAGAATGGAGGAAATTCGGATTAGTAGAAAAAGACGATCGTTTTCATGGTTTTTAGAAATAAATAAATAATGTAGAAGTGCTAAAAGAATTAGATAGAAGAGATATAAACAAGAGAACCACACTTCTTTGATTTTTTTCATTGGTTGGATTTAAAAGCAAAGCATGGAAAATACCTGCTACTTTTTCACTAGCCCGTCGGGCTATTTACTAGCCCGTACCAATTTAAACTAACCTCTACTGTAAAAGTAAAGGGTGTTTGTGGAATAAAAAAAACTAAAGCACTGACTTCAAACTGGTACAATCATTATAAAAAGTATTAAAATCATGAAAACAAACACTTCTGATCTCCAATTGGCGGCCATTTTTGTTTATACGTGTTATGTAAATTTTGAACCGAACCGAACCGAATTCCAGAATTCTGGATCGGTGCACCGAATCGAACAGTATGAACCTCGGTGCACCGCACAGCCCTACAATACACCCCCACTTAACTAAAGAAAAACGATAAAACAATACACCCCCACTTAACTACCAGAGAAAAGGCAACACAATACACCCCCACTTAACTATCAGAGGAAAGGTAACACAATACACCCCCACTTAACTAACAGAGAAAAGGTAACACAATACACCCCCACTTAAAAGGTAACACAATACACCCCCACTTAACTAACAGAGAAAAGGTAACACAACACACCCCCACTTAACTAACAGAGAAAAAGTAACACAATACACCCCCACTTAGCTAAAGAGAAAAGGTAACACAATACACCCTGACTTAACTAAAGAGAAAATGTAACACAGTACACCCCCACTTAACTATCAGAGAAAAAGTAACACAATACACCCCCACTTAAAAGGTAACACAATGCACCCCCACTTAACTACCAGAGAAAAAGTAACACAATACACCCCCACTTAACGATCAGAGGAAATGTAACACAATACACCCCCACTTAACTTAAAGAGAAAAGGTAACACAATACACCCCCACTTAGCTAACAGAGAAAAAGTAACACAATACAACCCCACTTAAAAGGTAACACAATGCACCCCCACTTAACTAACAGAGAAAAGGTAACACAATACACCCCCACTTAACTATCAGAGGAAATGTAACACAATACACCCCCACTTAACTAAATAAAGAGAGAAAAGGTAACACAATACACCCCCACTTAACTAACAGAGAAAAAGTAACACAATACACCCCCACTTAACTATCAGAGGAAAGGTAACACAGTACACCCCCACTTAACTAACAGAGAGAAGGTAACACAATACACCCCCACTTAACTATCAGAGAAAAGGTAACACAATACACCCCCACTTAACTATCAGAGAAAAGGTAACACAGTACACCCCCACTTAACTATCAGAGAAAAGGTAACACAGTACACCCCCACTTAACTAACAGAGAGAAGGTAACACAATACACCCCCACTTAACTATCAGAGAAAAGGTAACACAGTACACCCCACTTAACTATCAGAGAAAAGGTAACACAATACACCCCTACTTAACTAACAGAGAGAAGGTAACACAATACACCCCCACTTAATTATCAGAGAAAAGGTAACACAATACACCCCCACTTAACTAACAGAGAGAAAAGGTAACACAATACACCCCCACTTAACTATTAAAAGAGGAAAGTTAATCAAAAATTAAATAAGAGAGAGAGAAAGTAAAACAATCATCTCTCCATCTCTCTCTCTCTCTCTCTCTGTGATATTTTTATAATTTTAATAATTGATAAGAATTGATTATGTTAATATAGGAATTTCAGTAAGATTCCACAGCTGTCAACAAGGTGGGTTTACTGTACACGGTAACAAACAATATGTTACACTGCAGAAAATAACATGTCCAGAAGCTACAAAACAGTGGGGTTATGTTTTTATGTAACAGAAAACCTCAGAACACAATACCATGTTGGCATGTATTATGTTAAGCACAATAATTTTTTTACCTGTAAACAAGATCAAATGAAATATTAATTCAACATCTGGTTTTCAAAATGCAGACAAGGGAATGTAAATTATAGATCTAGAATTTCATAAGGAAAGTAGCATTGCCAATTCTAAATGCTGTATATTTTTATTTCTTGTAAAATACCTAAATCTGAAGTAATTTTAGAATACTAGTAAACATACTATCATTCATTTCATTGTGTATGTATTCTGGGTTGGCATTAAATAGCAAAATGTAACTTTAGTTAACAAAGGGTAAGATCATAGAAAATCAATACATGCAAGAAATTTTGTACAAACTCGAGGGTTATTAGATCATCCTCTGAGCCTTTGAAATGTTCTGTTGTGTACTCAGTCTTAAAATGGGATAGTTTTTGAGTGCTAAAAAACAGCATATATATATATTTACATTCAACATGTATTTTGCTTATAAAGTGTGAGGAAAGCTACGGCATTCAAAACACCATAACATGGAAAGGGGGTCAAAAGGTTAAAGTATGCATTTTATTTTGACGTCACAAATGTTGAACGCCGTGGAAGTGCAACTTTATAAGCAAAAATCAAAATTCACGCTCACATTGAACTGAAGCTGTTGCAACAGCTCTTCCATTTATTGTAACTTACTTGAAGGATAATACAGGGATTTTGAAATATAAATCACCTTTGAAGTCAAGGAAAGAAGATAAAAAATGTAAATATAAGCATTGAATTATTATTTTTTGAAAGATATAGTCTCATAACTGCAACGGTGTGTGCAAACAAATTTTCATAATGCGCTAACGCGTGTTACTCAATTTGTTTGCACACACCGTTGCAGTTATGAGACTATATCTTTCAAAAAAATAATGATTCAATGCTTAAATATTAGTTATATATAGACAAAATTAAATTCAGCATGAATTAAGTATAGCATGTAACTAAAGGTAACAATTGAATTTGTCACACTTAAAAAACCCTAGACACCCTCTACTAAAGTCAGTAGAAGCCAAATGTTTTACCAGATTATGATTTACAGTTTATCACACAGTATTAAATATTATCTGACAGTTTTGTTTCACTTTTTATGATAAAATTTCTGTAAAATATCTCTCAAAACTGCTGTGAATTTAAAGGAATCTGTTTTAAACAAATCTCTATTCATTCTCAATATTTCAGGAAATTGATGACTACATAGACCAATACAGCAAAAAGGGCTACACCACCCTTCTGAGTCTGGGTTCACGAGGTCTGACGTATGCCACCAATGTGGTGGTCACCACAGCAATAAAGGTAAGGTCACCACACTACTGAGTCAGGGTTCACGAGGTCTGACGTATGCCACCAATGTGGTGGTCACCACAGCAATAAAGGTAAGGTCACCACACTGCTGAGTCGGGGTTCACGAGGTCTGACGTATGCCACCAATGTGGTGGTCACCACAGCAATAAAGGTAAGGACACCACCCTTCTGAGTCTGGGTTCACGAGGTCTGACATATGCCACCAATGTGGTGGTCACCACAGCAATAAAGGTAAGGTCACCACACAGCTGAGTCGGGGTTCACGAGGTCTGACGTATGCCACCAATGTGGTGGTCACCACAGCAATAAAGGTATGGTCATCACACTGCTGACTCTGGGTTCAGTAGGTTGTTGTGCACTACCACAGCAAGGTAAGGTCACCACACTGCTGAGCAGCTGCTGTTGAGTTTATGATAACCACACTGCCGAGTCTGGGTTCATGAGTCTGACATACTCCACTTACGTACTGGTAATTACAGCAATAAAGGTGAGTTCCTACACTGATAAACAAAATAAATTGCAAAAGTAGTTTTGATCATATATATAAGTTCTTTTGTAAAATATGGCCCAGGGCTTTTAGCACAATTTCCAGAACAAAATTAAATTCATTCACCTCAAGATCTAGAAAGATTTCTGATAACTACCTCTCATAAGAAACCATCACAATTTAAAAATTTCATTTCACTTCTGCATGGTAGATACTGACAAACAGACAAAGTGATTTGAACTTAAAATACAAGGTTTGGTAATGGCCCAATTTTGCCCCATATTTGATATAAAAATCCACACAATTAAAACTGTTATAATTTTGCAATTAGGAACTTTTAAATGATGCTTGGTTTTAAAACTGGTACTAATTTTAATTCAAATGGTACATGAAAGCCAGACTTAGCCAGTAGAGGGTTACAAAGTAGGACATTTTACCGAATGTGCTCTGTGTTTTCTGAAACAAAATGAGATTTGAAATCAATGAAAATTTGATAAAGTTGGGAAAATTGGGAAATTGACATATTTTGAGACTTTTGTGTGAACCTATGTGTACTTTAATTTTATAGGTGTCACCCTCTTATCTGCTTATAGTAAAACCTGAAATGTTGTGATGAAAACTGTTACAATTGAGATATCACATCACAACAAAAATGAATATACATTTGTACATACATTAATGAAAATCGCTTTTTATTTGCGAGAATTTTAATTTCACATAATTGTGCAAGATGTTTGCCCACAAGGGTAAAATGCTTAAGGAATAAGCTATTGGGACTTCCAAATCACTTCGATATTCATGGTATTCGAGATTTCAGTGTTCGAGATACCAAGTTCAACTGAAGATTCTTCCTCTCATAGTAAAGTACTTCTGTACAAAATTTGAAAGTGTTCTGTTGAAAACTGAGTTATCACATCAGGATAAATGTGTTGAAGGACAGACAGATGATAATGTGAATCCTATAAGGCTCTCACATTTTATGAATCCTATAAGGCTCTCACATTTTATGAATCCTATAAGGCTCTCACATTTTATGGGGAGAAATTGTGATGAACAGATGATTACCTGAAATCTTTAAGGATATAAATATTTCTTTTATTTCTTTATCAATTTTGGTTTATACAATGTAATTATAGGGTCAGTCCTCATTGGTGGACCACATCAAGAAGAGTTACAGTACAAACGACCTTCGAGTGGGAGAGGACACGGTGGACGGCCATCATCCCAGCTTTATGTTAGAGGATGATGAATTAGGTCTGCCTATTCTTACATGATCACATGCTTTCATTATGAATTAGATCAGATTATTCTTACATGATCACATGCTTTTATTTCACCTTTCCGCATTGTTATATACATCTTATTCAATAACTAAATGTAGAATACATGTTTACATACCAGCAGTTTTTAAGTATACTAAAAACAAAGAAATGCTCACTTGGGGGTAATTTTTGTGAAAGTCGAGGGTTTTTTTAAGTTCCATTGGTCAAAAACAAGAAAAGTCTATGTGATGGTCAAGTGTCCATCGTTTGACTGTTTATTTGTAAACTACTGGCACTACTCCATTTTCAGTAAATCTTGGTATGCAAGTAGACAACACAAAGATAAAGAATTTGTTTATTGGGATTATAAAAATAAAAATTTCTGTGAAATTCTTTCAAAATGCTACTCCTCCTAAAATTTTGGTCTGATTTCAGTAAAATGAAGTACACATAGATAATATCGATATGCATAGTTCTGTTCATAAGGTTTTAATTTTGACAAGTGATGTTGCTGTTGTCACAAAAACTAGGAATTTCCATGAAATTCTTTCAAAATGCTACTCCTGCTACAATTCTGGTCCAATATCCATAAAACTTGGTCCATATATATAGACTTCATTAAAGTGTTGCAATAGTAAATTAAAAAAAAAAAATCTGAATTTTTTTCATGGACATTGCTGAAAATAGAATGTACTGTAAACATATCTTTTAGCTCACCTGAGCCAAGTGCTTAAGAGAGATTTCTGATCGAAGTTTGTCCACAGTCCATCTAGCTGTCTTTACATTTTGATTTCTTTCCAAAACCAGGGCAATTTTAACCAAACTTGCCACAAAGCATCCTTGGATGAAGAAGATTCAAGTTCTTCAATCCATTTAAAGGGGAGATATATAAGAATTGGTGAAAATTTATGGCATCTTTTGAAAATCTTTTCAAGAACCACTTGGCCAGAAAAAATGAAACTCAAGTAGAAGCTGCAATGCATAATATAGATTCAAGTTTGTTTAACAGATTTCTTGAATTGCTACTGTATGTCTTAAATGCTCTGTGAGAATGCTGTGACAAATATTTGTGGAAAATGTGTGACTGCATATATGGTGTAAAGTACTTTGTGCCTCACTCACAGATATGATTGCTGATAAAGAATCTACACCAGTGGAGTTTAAGATTTTAATTATGCAACAATCTAAAGAATCTATTGTGGCAAAGTAATATACAGGTTCCTAAATATTGGTTTGCAGTGGTCTAGTCATCATGACTTGTATTGACTGAAATGGACCTACCTATAAACTGAGATTTCAATATAACCTCAATAAAAATACATTACAATACTTCAAGGTAGTTTCTGAAAAAAAGTTAAATTTGTTTGGGCACTGTGACTGATTATTTCATAATAATCACAGATACTGAGTCAAATCCTGTCAGTGAAGCAAGTGAGACAGGCAGTAAAACAAGTGACCAATTATCCCAGAAATCCCCAAAAGTGGCCCCCAAAGTGGGAGGGGCAACAGAGAAGGGTGTTGATTTACTAAAACCAAGAAAACAAGGTTCATCAAGGTTAAATTCTGGCAAGGGTGAGTCAGCATTGGTCTCCCCATAATTCCTTGCAGTGATGCATGATGGGAAATTACACCCTTTCTAGTTTCATTTTTATTTTTGGGAACTGTTTTCTTGGTAAATGCTGTCTGCATGCAGGGTTTCTTTTTAACTACTTTCCAAGTAATTGAAGTTCTATTCTGAAATCTTCGTACCAATGTTTAATTATAATTTTAGTTTTATTCAACCTTACTTTTGGGAACTGGGATTTACTCAAATCACCAAACCCTGCTTGGTATACATTTATTTGTTCCAAATAATTTCACATATTTTAATCCTAGTGTTATTTTTTCTTAAATGCACACAATTAAAATTTTTTATCAATAATAGGATTAATTATTGTCAGTACTTGTGATAAAGAAATCTGTTAAGAATTTCATCTGATGAATAAATTGTGTATGTGTTGCTTATGTCTCATAGACGTAAAGTGTCAAAATATAATTGATTCACATGGCTACCACATCTCTATTATACTGGATGTTTTATATGGCTACCACATCTTTATTATATAAGATGATGGCTACCACATCTTTATTATATGAGTTGATTAACATGGCTACCACATCTTTATTATATGAGTTGATTTACATGGCTACCACATCTTTATTATATGAGTTGATTTACATGGCTGCTAAATCTTCAAAAGGAATTAAAACAATATTCACCTCAAGCTTTGGGTTTGGTGAAAATTGTCCTAAGTAGCTATAGCTAAATGACTGTATTCACCTTTTATACAAATCAGTAGTGGTATTCCAGTCTCTGGATTGCAAAAGATGAAGATAACGAACATTGATCAATCTTGTAAATCTAGAAGAGAATATGAATCGTAGACAGGGCTAAAACACAGACCTCAGGAAGTACAAGAGGTGGGATCAGGTGCCTAGGAGGAGAAAAAATCCCCTGTTGACTGATCACACCCTAAGTATTGATCAGCTTGACAGAGTAGTCTGTAGTCAATTTTAGTATAAAAACAAAGACCTAACAATTTGTATGAAATGTCAGACAAAGTATGACCCCAAAACAGGTTGTATTTGCAAACAAGGCTAGTGGATTTGACATTAGATAAGGTAGATGTATGAATAACAACACTACACTGATCGAATTTTTTTGTTAGTTTTGTATCTAAAAGTTGTATGTAGTCAGTAAAACAATATTTTGTATTTCCTAGCTTTGTATGTCTGATATCCAGAAAATAAAATCTTGAGAAATATATACTTTGTACTTTTATGATTAAACAGATGAGAGAATAGCCCAAGATAACCGTGAAATTGAGAGAAGGAAACCTCTTCGACGTAGTACCAGTGATGTCACAGAGGTAGTTCGACCTCCAACATCCAGATACAGAAACCCAGCCACAGGTATCTAATAATAGAAATGAATCCTCCAACATCCAGATATAGAAACCCAGCCATAGGTATATATAATAGAAAGAAATCCTCCAACATCCAGCTACAGAAACCCATCCACAGGTATCTATAATAGAAATAAATCCTCCAACATCCAGATACAGAAACCCAGCCACAGGTATCTATAACATAAATAAATCCTCCAACATCCAGATACCGAAACTTAGCCACAGTTATCTTTAATAGAAATAAATCCTCCAACATCCAGATACAGAAACCCAGCCACAGGTATCTATAATAGAAATAAATCCTCCAACATCCAGATACAGAAACCCAGCCACAGGTATCTATAATAGAAATAAATCATTGGATGTTCCTAGTTACAGTCATATCTTATTTTTTTGATTGTGGTAAATTATCTAGCCTGCAGCAAGATTGAATCAGTCTATAGGTTTGTGATTTGTTAAAGGTCGATTAACTATTAAAGCCATTCTATTCAAGCAGTTCCTTATTTCTGTATTTAATATGAATGAATGTTTTGGCTTTAATTGAAGTGAATAAAGGATTGAATAGGAGGTTTTATTAAGAAAATAATAGAGGTTAGAGATAATATTTTGATATACTTGGTAGTATATTTTTTCCCAAATTCCTCAGATTTAAGCAAAATATATACAGAAGTACAGATAACTGTATAATAATATATAAAATATTTCATAAATGGGAAAGTTTATCATTCTGTGAAGACTGGTATATTTCTGAGTTTTGCTGTGTGGTATTATTTTATTATCTGACCTCGGCTTGAAGTGTGTAATTTGTTTTTATTTCAGAGCTTTCAAAAGTAGTAGAAGTGGAAGAAGAATACTCATATCACGAGGAATCTGTGCATGTACGGCCGGGCTACTACAGTCCTAGACAGGTGGGTTATCTCCCTTAGTAATCCCTAAAAGATCACAGATATCTCCCTTAAATCATAAAAAAAATATCTCCATTAGAAGTCATAAACAGATATCTCCATTACTGCTCCTAAATAGACATCTCCCAAGTATTCCTAAACAGATATCTCCATTATGTCTTCTCAACAGATATCTCCACTAGTAGTCCTCATCAAATATCTCCAGTAGTAGTCCTCAACAGACATCTCCACTAGTAGTCCTCAACAGACATCTCAGCTGGTAGACCTCAATAGACATCTCCACTAGTAGTCCTCAACAGATATCTCCACTAGTAGTCCTCAACAGACATCTCCACTAGTCCTTAACAGATATATCCACCAGTAGTCCTCAACAGATATTCTCCACTAGTAGTCCTCAACAGATATCTCCACTAGTAGTCCTCAACAGACATCTCCACTAGTAGTCCTCAACAGACATCTCCACTAGTAGTCCTCAACAGAAATCCCCACTAGTAGTCCTCAGATATCTCCACTAGTAGTCCTCAACAGATATCTCCACTAGTAGTCCTCAACAGATATCTCCAATACTGCTCCCCAAGAAATATCTCCATTCCTGCTCTTCAACAGATATCTCCCTGAACAGTTCTTAACAGATATCTACCTAAGCAGTCCTCAACAGATTTCTTCCTAATAAGCCCTTAACAGATATTTCCTCTAAAAGTCCTCAACAGATATCCTCTCTAGCAGTCTCCAAAATGTCAGATATTTCTCTTACAGTCCTCAGCAGATATCTCCCCTAACAGTCCTCAACAAATATCTTCCTAAACAGTCCTCAACAGACCAGATCTCTTCCTTGACATTCCTATACAGGAATCTCCCTCAACAGATTAGATATTTCCCTTAGCTGCCTTAAAAAGTTATCTCCCTTAACAGTCTGAAACTGATTAGGTATCTTACTAAATAATTCTCATCAGACAGATATCTCACTTAAAGTAATCAACAGGTATCTCCCCTAGCAGTCCTATTCAGATATCTCAATTAACAGTCCTCAGTAGATATCTTCGCAAGCAGTCCTCAACAGATACCTTTACTAGCAGTCCTCAACAGATATCTTTACTAGCAGTCCTCAGCAGATACCTCTCTATACAGTCTGTTACAGATCAGATATCTCACTTAATAGTCCTCTACAGTCCAGATATCTTCCTTAACAGTCCTGAACAGTTATTTCAAATAGCAGTTTTCAACATATATCTCCATTATCAGTCCTCATTAAATGTATTGAATAACTGTCCTAATTATATCAGATATCTCTCTTAAGATTCTCAGTAGATGAGATATTTCCCTTAGATATCCTTAACAGGTATCTCCCTTAGCAGTCCCAATCAGATCAGATATCTCACTTAACTATCCTCACCAGATCAGATGTATCCGTGAACACTCCTTAATTGTTTCCGACTGAAAGAAAGAAAAAAAAAAAACAATCAAGGTCACAATGAAAACATAAGACATACAACATGTCCATTGCTAAAAAATGGTTTTTCCACTTATTAATTTCCTTTCACCTCTTCGAAAAAAATATTTTTGAAAATGATTTAAGTACCAGAATTTGACTATCACCAAGTCAATTTTAAATGGTCACCAATTTGGAAACTTCCAGAGAAATTTTAGGTGCCATGGCGACTAAATTAGTCACCAGTTAGAGCCCGGAGTCCTCCCTCTAATAATCCTCCAGGGTTTAAATAAGCTATCAATCATTTCCTTTGGATGTTCTTTAGAGTTTGACCAAGCTAATAATCCTCCAGGATGTAAATAAGCTATCAGTCCTCTCCATTAGATGTTCTTTAGATGTCTTTTAGACATCTTTTAGAGTTTGACCAAGCTATTAATCCTCCAGGGTTTAAATAAGCTTTAAATGTCCTTTAGAGTTTGACTAAGTTTACAATCCCCCAGGATTTAAATAATCTATCAATCCTCTCCATTATATGTTCTTAAGATGTCCTTGAGAGTTTGACCAAGGTAATAATCCTCCAGGATTTAAATAAGCTATCAATCCTCTCCTTTAGATCTCCTTGAGAGTTTGACCAAGCTAATAATCTTCCAGGATTTAAATAAGCTATCAATCCTCTCCTTTAGAGTTTGACCAAGCTAATCATCCTCCAGGATTTAAATAAGCTATCAATCCTCTCCTTTAGATCTCTGTTAGAAGTCTTTTCGAGTTTGACCAAGGTAATAATCCTCCAGGATTTAAATAAGCTATCAATCCTCTCCATTAGATCTCTTTGAGAGTTTGACCAAGCTAATAATCCTCCAGGCTTTAAATAAGCTATCAATCCTCTCCTTTAGATCTCCTTTAGAGTTTGACCAAGCTAATAATCCTCCAGGGTTTAAATAAGCTATCAATCCTCTCCTTTAGAGTTTGACCAAGCTAATAATCCTCCAGGCTTTAAATAAGCTATCAATCCTCTCCTTTAGATCTCCTTGAGAGTTTGACCAAGCTAATAATCCTCCAGGGTTTAAATAAGCTATCAATCCTCTCCTTTAGAGTTTGACCAAGCTAATAATCCTCCAGGCTTTAAATAAGCTATCAATCTTCTCCTTTAGAGTTTGACCAGGCTAATAATCCTCCAGGATTTAAATAAGCTATCAATCCTCTCCTTTAGATCTCTGTTAGATGTCCTTTAGAGTTTAACTAAGCTGATAATCCTCCAGGGTTAAATAAGCTATCAATCCTCTCCTTTAGATCTCTGTTAGATGTCCTTTAGAGTTTGACTAAGCTGATAATCCTCCAGGGTTAAATAAGCTATCAGTCCTCTCCTTTAGCTCTCCTTTAAATGTCCTTTAGAGTTTGACCAAGCTAACAACTCCTCCTAGAAATATCCTCCAGGATTTAACTTAGCTATATCAATCCTCCCCTTGAAATGTCCTCCAGAGTTGACTTAGCTACATGTAACAGCCCCTCCCCTCTAAATGTCCTCCAGAGTTGACTTAGCTACATGTAACAGCCCCTCCCCTCTAAATGTCCTCCAGAGTTGACTTAGCTACATGTAACAGCCCCTCCCCTCTAAATGTCCTCCAGAGTTGACTTAGCTACATGTAACAGCCCCTCCCCTCTAAATGTCCTCCAGAGTTGACTTAGCTACATGTAACAGCCCCTCCCCTCTAAATGTCTTCCATAGTTTAACCTACTGTGTAGCTAACAGTCAGACAATTTCAGAAGGGTTAACTTTAAATTTCAAAACCCTCTTAGAATACATTTGTTGCTTTTTAAACTTAAGCTAACTTGCTGCTAGTCTATAGAAAAAAAATGCAGCCCTATAGATGGAAATGATTTATTGAAATATTTGAATTAGATGTTATGTTCATATTGCATTGAATTTATTTAAATTTTATTTCATCTTTCAAAGTATTTTTTCAGTTTTAAATGAATAGAATTTCAACAGCAGTATAGGGAGGACTGTATAAATGCATATATTTTGCATATTATTCCAGCATTGGCAATTATAAAGCAATATTATTTATTTTAGGAGATGTATTTCTATGGTAAAGGTTAATTTATAACTAACCAATAACACTTAATTCCACTCTGATATCTTTAACTCTGGTCAGACTTTTCAGCATTCAATCACTTTGCTCTTTCTATTTACCAAACTGAAAGTGAAAGTAGTGCCGCATAAATCTCACTTTTCCTCTGATCAGCTGTGAATCTTTAAAATGTGTGACTTATGATTTTATTTCAGAATGGGAACACAATAATAGATATGAGTGAGAAGCAGTGCTTTAATTGTTTGGGTTTAGAGGGGAAACAGACACGCATTTTCATCTGAATGTTTCATCATTTTGCTTGTGAATTGGAATGTGTCTGCCATTCAAAGCTTACATAGATCATGCCATTCAAGAGCAGTTCATAGTCTTTAAGACTTAGTGAAATTCTCAGTTTATATTTGTCAATTGAACTTGATCTTATCATGGAATTTTGATATAGTCATAATTAAGAATGGAATCTTCAGATATACCAAAAACAACAAAATAAATATCAGACTAACTCAAGAGTAATGATAAAGTGCATGTATAATGAGTAGGAGATTATAGTACATAATAGACTTTAAAAAAAGACTTCAAGCAATAGATGATCTTCTCCTAATTAATATAAATAGTACCGGTAAGTCAATAATTCTGTGACAGATGAATCATATTATGTCAAGTCTTCATCTTCTTTATCGAAAATGTAATTTTTATTTCATCTTGATGCCAAACAATTTGTGTTTTAAACTCTTTTGACATATTTTTTTCAATGAGGAACTTTGTCCTAGCTGCCTTGTAGGGCATGTCTACTTGTAGCCTGTCATTTTGACGGGTGGTTTGTATAATCTGAGAATTTTGTTTCTGATTATCTGGTTTACAGTATGACCTACTTTTGTAGAATGTCTTGATAACAAATGCTTCACTTTTTAACTGATATCAAATTTTTGTCAATTTAGGTCAAACTCGACCCATACGGTACATTACCAAGAACCCGCGCCCGTACCCGCAGTAAATTGCCAAAGTGAAGGATCTCAAGCTTATGACAAGTTGATGCCAGCCGGTTAAAGGTCATCTCCATAGCAACAGCTTATTAACAATAGGCAATGGACTCGGCTTCACAAACACTTTAGTCAATTTCACATGTTGAAATGATGTACATGTATACACTAGCTTCACTAGCTTGATACAATTTCATATGAACTTGGAGGCAGATTTGCCATATGTGATGGTATTTTTTGTTATGTTTGTTGATGTTTGACATCAATGGTATCAGTGGATTTAGTCTATTGAAGCAATGTAGCTGAAAAACAAGTTTATTTGGGGATATCAATGCATTCAAATTTATTTTCATTATAATGTTGTTATAATTGTAGGTTTAGGGGCTTCTAAAAGACAATTCAAGATTTAATTTACAGAATGATTTTCAATATTAAGTTAGAGAGGTCAAATTAGAACTTTTAGAACACACTGTTTGAATCACAAGGTGCTTTATACAATTACAGAGGTTTCGTACCTCCAGTTTCACGATACAGGAGTAAAACTTCGTAGAGTTTAGTATTTATTGCTTTTTGGCATGATTTTGATTTTATTGAATGAAAAATCTACTTAAGATATTATATGAAATACAAAAAATCAGTTAAACTGTCTGCTCTATTGTTGTTGTGTCTTGTACATTTTTATTGCAGTCTGATTTTGGTTTCTTAACAGATTCTTTCTTTACTGTGTAAATTGTACATAATGATAATACTGTTATTTGAAACAGAATTCTATATCAATGTGAAGTCACTAAGTCATTGTGGGATATGAAAGTTTATGTTGATAACGAAAAAAAAGTTATGTGAGCCCTGTACCTAATATGGATCATGTGACTCTAAATGTGAGTGAATTTTTAACCTTGATTGCGTGGTTGTGTGTACACTCAGGGCAGGGTATTATGAGCAGTGTCTTACAATGGGAATGCCAGTATCTGTTGAGATTTGTATATATGTTGTATATAATTACCAGTCAATCATTTGTATTTTTTTCAGTTCATTTTTCTATACAGCTTTTTTTGGTTTTGTGAATTTTTATTTTTTTGCCCTATATCTCTATGCTCAAATATTTCTTTTGTTTGCATTTTTTCTATCACACAAAACATTCCATGCCTGCTTGTTTTGTATTTTTTTAAACCTGACTTTTGTAACTTATTCTTCAAACTATTTACCAAATCAGATGCCATAACTTTTATTGTTCACCAAATTGAGTGTTGTAATAGTAAGTTATTATAATACCAGTATATCATTGTGAATTATTGGAGGACTTCAAGACTCTTGCTTTCAATTATTCAAAAATAATTAAATTACAGGGAAAAAAATGTTTTAAATTAGAAAAATATGACAAAAGAAATGTTGTGTTTCTGAACAGTCATTAAAACTGAAAAGCAAATACCACTTGAGAGCAAAATAGCAAATATTAGTACTTCATTTTGATAAGATGGACAAAGATTATAGGATATGAGAATCGTTTGTTTTGAGATTATACCTCATTAACGGTGCTGTGTCACTTGTTAACTTGTACCATGGAATAGCTTGTCTTTTTCCTCTGTTTTAACCTTTCTGTTTAGATAGTTTGTTCTGAGTTGGGACTACCAAATGTGTTCTAGTGTCAGAGAGGTTGACTTTCGTTGAGGAAGATGAACATGTTAAGCTTTCTTGAAGTCGTATAAATCGACATCACGATGTGTTAATCTGTGATAATCTTATTGTGCATATATTTTTTTTGAAGACTTAGAAACCCACAACGAATAAGTCAACATAAAAGGGGTTATTATTAAGACTGTTCAGTGTATATTCACAATTAATTAAATGTAAACTCCAGTGACACCTGTATGATTCACTGATCATTGATGAGCTTGACACTGGATCTGATACTAGCTATTAAAAGCAAGCGTAAGAGCACATCTTACATCAGAATTTAAGCGTTAGACAAGGCTTTGTCTTAGAAAATGTAAAAATAGAAAATGTGGTCACAACATTCATTCATTTTACAATGTGAAATCTGACGTATATGAAATTGCGACAGCCATGTCTGTCTTTATTTAAACAAGTTTACATGTACATTACTTTTGATATCATTTTGCTATTTAATTACATGAAATATTCTGGGAAATATGTTCCATGTATGTTTTCAGCAATATGTTCCTGATTTTCAGAGAACATTAATACTGCTTCTAAAGCTACTCTTAGACTTATAGAACCAAGAAATATTTTGTAAAGATTGAACAGGTGACACATTAAGATGGGGTCTTTGTTGTAGAGTATTTATTGAATGATAAATACATACATGTAGTTGTAGATCTGCATAATTAGTGGGGATGATTGGTATGTCATATTGACCTTGTGTCAGAAATAAATTGTATAAAGTTGACCTTAATACTGCAGTTAACAATAAAATTTGTCATCATTTTCATGTTGTCAGTGATTCTCCGTCTTCAAAACATGCAAGTTTATTACAGTTAAACTTCATTATTTTGAGTATTAAACTATTAGTATATTGAAATACAAAGAAAGCCTAAAAGAGATGGAAGTCTCAATTATTTTTTCTTTATGTATTTTAAACTTTCAAAATATTTTAAACGTAATATTTTAATCTTCAGTTAGACTATCAAAATTTTAAACTCAGTGGCTCAAACCCTTGGTTATCTTGGAAGTTTTTTTTCAAGGTTCCATTGAATTCAAGATAATGAGGTTAGACTGTATCCAATGTGTAGAGCTTCATTTAAGCAATTCTTGCAGAAGAACTAGAATCTTGAAAAATAGGAAAAATACCTAGATAGCCACAAAATTGAAATTATTAGAGAAGTGATTTTGAACAGATAGCAAATCTAGCAGAATTTATTCTGTGTACAGTGGTATTATTTAGGTTCATGTGCTTGATTAAGAATGTGGAATACTGAATGCTTTGCCATTCATAGTGTGCAAGATTTTAAATTTTATTTTGAGATTCTCTCCCTATACTATATCACATACTTTTCCAGATTAATTTTGGAAGGAGATGGGTGAACATAGCGTGCAGAAAGCCTATAGCTTCAGATATATAAAAATCATTTCAATTTGTGAATTTAGTATTTAGAGTAAAGGTCTCGTTATTGAAATTTATGAAATTATGATAAACAAAACTTTTCCGAGGAAAATTTTCTCAGCAAAATTTATTCTTTTATTAAAAAAAATAATGTGCTTTTCATGGGGTTCGAACCCTAGCAATAAAAATCCTGAGTATCATTTTTTTTTTCGAGACAAGCACGCTAACCACTAGACTACACAAGTCCTGATGAATAGTGGAATTTAAATCATATTTGTGATATGACCCTTGACTTAATGGACTTCAAGTTTTTCTCGAAAAGATGCAAATGCTATGTCATAAAAGTACATTTTTAAGGTATAGTGAGTCTTTGCTCCCTATTTTTGGAAACCAAAAAATGTATATTTTTATGCAAACTTTGAGGATTAACTTTCCAAAAAATGGAGTGAAGACCCACTCATATCGGAAAATAGCGTTATAGTGTGAGAAAATGACTCTTCTTGCCCTCTTTAGTGTGTGTATAGTATTTCTTAAGCAAATAATTTTAATCTTTGTGAGATTTTTGAAAATTGTAGAGATTTTACATAAAGTATATTTTAATGTTAGATGAAATATTAAGAATATTTTTGATATAATTAAAATTTAATTTTTTACCTTCATGTTTGTCACACTATAGGCTTTTCGCTCGTCATGTTCACCCATCTTCTTTCTTGAGAATGTTTATTTTTTCCATACAATGTTACTAAAAAGATTATGCTATACAATTCATGAATACACTAGTCAACAAACACGATAATATTTTATACAAAAGAACTGATTAAATCATATTCACAGATTTTTTTGGTCACTAAAAATCATCAATTGAAAATGGCAATAAACTGAATGGAAAAATGAGAGGACACAATTTTTTAAATACACTGAAACCTCATTGTCTTGTAATTGTTGGGACCTAGGAAACTATATATCTGAGAGTTGGAGATAATGAGGTTAAAATACATGAAGAAACAAGAGGTCAAAGGGCCTTAATGATCACCTGAATATAATACAACCCTGCCTATAAAGGGTCCATGGAAAGGTAAATAATTAAAGTCATATATGGCATTTTTTATAAGTTCAGACTAACTAAAATTAAAAAGATCTTTCTATTTGTTTTATTACTTTATATAAAGATAGGGCCTTCCTGTAAATTACACAATTTAAATCAGTCTCGTTTCAAACATATTAGAAATTTAAAACTATAACCGATTTATTTACCGACTCCGCATTTAATTAACAGACATTGTTTAAAATCAATTTAACTATGGAAACATGAGGTTATTCGAGTTCAAAATCGGTGAAAATTTTAATTTGAACGTAAATAACATATATCATGTTTATCTACACTCAATCCTGTATTTTTTTTTATCTCAGATACGCCATATATAGCTTTAAATAATAATACAAATAAACTGAAAGAAAAATGATGATCAAGGCTCAGCAAAATAGTTATAGTCTGGTAATCAGCAAAAATTTGGAAACACAATTTGAAATAAGCATTATGCTCATTATTGTTATGCACTTAGTCTGTCTGCTAAATACCCAGAAGCTGAGAAGATTTTCATGGAATTAATGCATACTCCAGAACCCCTGACCCACAGGCTATGAAATTCACAATTCTGGAAGATGCACTCTTGCTCATCATAATAATGCACTTTGTTTGTCTGCTAGATACCCAGGAGCAGAGAAGATTTTCAAAGAATTAATGCATTATCACTATACATGTATTACCAATAGCCCTGCCTTTACACCAGAACCACAGAGGCACCTATACTCATTATAACCATGCACTTAGTTTGTTAAATTTGCTCAGTATCCAGGACCAGAGAAGATTTTCAAAGAAATAATGCATTTTTACAATATAATCAATATAGCCCCACCTAACACCATAACCCCCTCACCCAGGGGTCATGAAGTTCACAATTTTGGAAGAGTCACCCTTGCTAAGCATAACTATGCACTTTGTTTCTTCAATGCCCAGCAGGAGAGAAGATTTTCAATGAATTAATGCATTTTCACTATATGATCAATAGACCCCCACCTTAACTTCAGTACCCCTGGCCCCAAGGGGCCATGAATTTCACAATTATGGTAGAGGACTCAATGCTTATTATGTACAATCATGAAAAACAGTTCAATAGCTTGATGTCCAGGATTAAAGAGGAATATTTTTAAAGATAGCACTAATTTTGATGGTTTTAGCCCCACCTTTCAGATCCCTGAGGGGTGGGGGCCATGAATTTCATAATTTTTGTTCCCCTTTACCCATGGATTCTAAATATCAAAATTGGTTGAAATTGGTTCAGTGGTTTCAGAGAAGAAGCTGAAAATGTTTACATGTTATTGCACAATGGACAAAAACAGATAGCACCTGATACCACTTCCATTTAGTTTTTAGAGGTTCATGTTTGCTCTGCTCTTCATTTGTATCCTTTTGTATCTTAGTGTAACTGAAAATTGCTTGGGAGAAGTCATATAATTACTTCTGTACAAAATATTTCTTCAAAAGTTCAACTTACCCAAACATTTGAAGGTATTTTCCACACTGCCTCCTAAATACAAAAGCGAAGTAATTACAGGTTTTTCCCAAGTAAGTTTTGGTTAGAGAACATATACTCCTCTTATGGATTTCCACAAAATATCTTAAGTCAATCCTTATAAATTGCCGTGCCAGTCTCTTTTATGCATACATATAAACTTCTACCTCTAACCACAGTCATGAAACAAAGAAATATGTCAAAGTCTTTATTTTATTTTCGTATTCAATATGCTGAATTTCAATCCAAAGTAATGCAACAAAGTAGTGCTCTAAGTATTCAATAATATATCTGTATCCTCAAGCTTAAGACTATCACTAAAAATATTAATTCAGCAATAACTCTCTAAAATTTACGTCTAAAATAAGTACTAGTAAAGTTTGGCACTCTCCTCAACATGATAGCTTAAACTTGCAGTGACTTGACATTATAGGACCCTGGAAATCTGATATCCCTCCCACAGATTCCACAACTATAATGTCAAACACATTAAACCTGATAAAATCAAGGACATATTTCAGAAAATCCTATTTATTATTTGCTATAGATAAGAAACAACAAAGTGTAGAAATCCCTAGTCAACAGGAAATAGACATTCAGCAATACATGAGATCAAACACTGATTATACACGGCAAGTAAAAATATCATATCAAAAAAAAAACCCAGTTCACATACTTCATCACCACAAAGTAAACATGATGAATAAGTATATATCATGTAATATCACATAGGACTGACCTAGAAATCTGACTTCAGAAATGATTACAATGTGGTGTAAGAAGAAATGGTAAAATATTCTAAAATATTATCACAATATATGTGAAGGAATGAAATACAATACAAACAATTATCACATACATGTGAAGGAATGATATACAATGTTATTTATCTAAACAGTAATGAGATTTAAACAGTCACAGTATAAAATCATTTTGCATTTCAAAAAAAAAAAATTCATAAATCTTAAGTCATGGCCAATTCCACTGAATACATTACTCAGTACATTTACATAAAAAAGGACTGTTTACAGTGGTCATAAGTACTATAGAACTGGGACATCACAGAATTTATTGTCAGTACATGTACTTACATAAAAAATGACTGTTTACAGTGGTCGTAAGTACTATAGAACTGGGACATCACAGAATTTATTGTCAGTACATGTACTTACATAAAAAAGGACTGTTTACAGTGGTCGTAAGTACTATAGAACTGGGACATCACAGAATTTATTGTCAGTACATGTACTTACATAAAAAAGGACTGTTTACAGTGGTCGTAAGTACTATAGAACTGGGACATCACAGAATTTATTGTCAGTACATGTACTTACATAAAAAAGGACTGTTTACAGTGGTCGTAAGTACTATAGAACTGGGACATCACAGAATTTATTGTCAGTACATGTACTTACATAAAAAAGGACTGTTTACAGTGGTCGTAAGTACTATAGAACTGGGACATCACAGAATTTATTGTCAGTACATGTACTTACATAAAAAAGGACTGTTTACAGTGGTCGTAAGTACTATAGAACTGGGACATCACAGAATTTATTGTCAGTACATGTACTTACATAAAAAAGGACTGTTTTACAGTGGTCGTAAGTACTATATAACTGGGACATCACAGAATTTATTGTCAGTACATGTACTTACATAAAAAAGGACTGTTTACAGTGGTCGTAAGTACTATAGAACTGGGACATCACAGAATTTATTGTCAGTACATGTACTTACATAAAAAAGGACTGTTTACAGTGGTCGTAAGTACTATAGAACTGGGACATCACAGAATTTATTGTCAGTACATGTACTTACATAAAAAAGGACTGTTTACAGTGGTCGTAAGTACTATAGAACTGGGACATCACAGAATTTATTGTCAGTACATTTACATAAAAAATGACTGTTTACAGTGGTCATATAAGTACTATAGAATCGGGACATCACAGAATTTATTGTCATGAGTATTGCTAATACTGTTTAATGCCTGACTAAATCTGTGCTTAAATATGAACAACAACTAAAACCTTTTGTTCAGATCCAATATTAGCAAAAGTTTACAATTCCAATGTTTAAAGTACATTAATTTATATATGACAAAAAGCCATATACTTTGACAAAATCAATTTTCAAATAAACACATATCAGAAAGATGATATAATAGTGGCTTTGTGTCTACACATGTACAATCTTACGGTAATTACGGGAACTATTCAATATGGATTTTGTTTAGCAATATTATATATGACTACAAAAATATATCCTCCATAAATTAATCCATACACGTTGGAAAGAAATAGAAAATATATATATAATTGTCAAAATTAACCTGTGATTGTATGACCTAAGACCCTGTTTTTTCTGAAAATTTGACCTTGACCTCTGACTTCGGTCGAGTGACAGGCAGCCATTTATGACTAAGGTCTTGACCTTCCTTGACTGTAATATGGTATTTCTGTATCAGCTCCCTTACAATTGTCTGGAAAATAAAAATCAAGGTTTCAGGAAACAAAACGTATTCAGAAAACTGATTCATCGACAATATACTTATAAAACCTACTATAGACAGTGCAACATCATAATTCAAAATAGAAATGAGCAAAGATGTTAAAGATTCACAGATGTAGCCATTGAAAATTTCAAGACATTCTCATTTGAAGAGGTGTATATGGTGTTTTATGTATTACAAATTAATAAAAAGGTGTATATGGCATTTTATGTATTACAAATTAATAAAGAAGTGTACATGGTGTTTAAAGTATTACAATACAGAGGTGTACATGGTGTTTATCAATGTATTAAGTATAACTATAATGATTCACAGATCAAAGTCACCTTGAGAATATTCCAAACCAACTTCTGTCCGACACATCCTCTAGGTCCAGCTCCAAAACAAAAAATACGATCCTTGTCTTCTGCATTGCTGTAAGAAATAATTATTGATTCAGCTAATTCATATATGATCCTTGTCTTCCGCATAGTTTTAAGAGATAGTAGTTCAACCTAACAACACTTAAAGGTTAAAGAATAAAGTTTGGTAAAATTTTGCAAAAGAAGGTTAAACTTCAAGGTCAAGAAGTCAAATATGTTGGTACCCAAAGGATAATCTTGTCACAAGGAATACACATGTGAAATAAGAAAGCCCTAGCTCCTATCATTTAAAAGTTTGGTCAAGGTTGAAGTTTTTGCAGACAAACAGATTAACATACAAATAGATAATAGATGGATGGACAGACCAAAAACTCTGGCCCCGAATCTTCAATTAAGGGGGCATAAAAAGGACAGCAAAGATATCCTCTACATATGTTTGTCTTATATTTAATGTTGCACTTTGCAAGAGATACATTTGAGAAGGATACAAATAATAGTGTTTCTGAGTAAACCTTTACTCACATTGTCTTTCATCTGTTGGGGTCAAACTGGTCTGAGAACTGGAAGATTCTGGATTATTTTAATATAAATATTCAAAGTAAAAGACGCAACAGGGTCTGACACATCTATTTCATATTTGGATGTTTTACTAGAGAAAGACATTGATGGCAAATCGACAACTAAACTTTATGATAAATGTGATCACTTCAACTTTTCTAACATCAACTTCCCTTATACCATTATCACCTGCATATGGAGTTTGTGTCTCCCAGATGATTGGATATACAAGAGCATGTTATATGTACCAATGATTTCTAAAACGAGGCAGGGTATTGACAACAAGTTGATGATACAAGGATATCAATAATTTAGCTAAAGTCAACATTTTGCAAATTCTATGGTAGATACAATGAACTTGTTTGCAAATACCATCTATTGTTAGGTTGAAAGTTGACTGATGTTTTTCATACAAATTGTTAGGCCATTAGGTTCACACTGAATTGTCTACAGATTTGTTTGTTTAACCGATCATGACAAGGAGCACATGGTGGGTGTGACCAGTTGGCAGGGGATGCTTACTGCTCCATGGCACCTGATCCCACCTGTTTTCAGAGGTCCCTGTTGGCTCTGCCCATAAGTTATATTGTTAAAATTGACTTTTGAGAATGATCACTGTTGGTTATTTTCACATCTAATTTATAAGTAACCTTTACGCACACTGTCTTTTATCTGTCAGGACCAAATTGGTCTGAGAACTGGAAGATTCTGGGTTGTAAGTAACCTTTACTTACACTGACTTCCACCTGTCAGGGTTGAATTGGTCTGAGAACTGGAAGATTCTGGGTTGTAAGTAACCTTTACTTACACTGTCTTCCACCTGTCAGGGTCGAATCAGTCTGAGAACTGGAAGATTCTGGGTTAGGCCATAATAAAAAAAATTCCTAGATTCTCATCCTGATTTTTTTGAAAAATCGAGGCAGGCGGGTGGATTTTATTTCATATTTTTTATTTTTTCTATTGAACAGGTATTTTGTTGACCTGATCAATCGGTGCAGATTTATCTATAATGCCGGAATAAAAGTCATAGTAGAAGTCCATTTAAATATGCATATCTCTTACTGCGCATAATCATCAATCTTTCACAACCAATAATCCTTGTTTAATACATATTTCAGCATTACATCTTGTCAGCTGTCAAAACATGCCAACATTAGTGGGATTTAAAACAAAAGTTGAATGGCAGTTGAATACCGATCCCGATCAGAATCAAGATAAAGAAAAACAGGAATAAAAAAAATCGAGGCTGGGGTAAAAAATTGGGGCAGGCAAGGATGAAAATCTAGGAATTTTTTTTATTATGGCCATATAAGTAACCTTTACTTACACTAATTTCTGTCAGGGTTGAATTGGTCTGAGAACAGGAAGATTCTGGGTTACAAGTAACCTTTACTTACACGACTTCCACCTGTCAGGGTCAAATTGATCTGAGAACTGGAAGATTCTGGGTTATAAGTGACCTTTACTTACACTGACTTCCACCTGTCAGGGTTGAATTGGTCTGAGAACTGGAAGATTCTGGGTTATAAGTGACCTTTACTTACACTGACTTCCACCTGTCAGGGTCGAATCAGTCTGAGAACTGGAAGATTCTGGGTTATAAGTGACCTTTACTTACACTGACTTCCACCTGTCAGGGTTGAATTGGTCTGAGAACTGGAAGATTCTGGGTTATAAGTGACCTTTACTTACACGACTTCCACCTGTCAGGGTTGAATTGGTCTGAGAACTGGAAGATTCTGGGTTATAAGTGACCTTTACTTACACTGACTTCCACCTGTCAGGGTTGAATTGGTCTGAGAACTGGAAGATTCTGGGTTATAAGTGACCTTTACTTACACAACTCCCACCTGTCAGGGTTGAATTGGTCTGAGAACTGGAAGATTCTGGGTTATAAGTGACCTTTACTTACACTGACTTCCACCTGTCAGGGTCAAATTGATCTCAGAACTGAAAGATTCTGGGTTATAAGTGACCTTTACTTACACTGACTTCCACCTGTCAGGGTTGAATTGGTCTGAGAACTGGAAGATTCTAGGATCCCTGTGGCTGTGGTAAGACATGTAAACTAAAGCATGCCCCTTTGGAATATGAAAACCATTCAGGGTAAAGTCCTGAAATGATAATCATATATCTGCATTATAAAACATCAGTATTCTACCTACTATTACATACTTCATTTATGAAGTGTTGTTATTAATGTATAACTCTGTTTTCCTGCAAACCAAATTTTACCATTCAAATGCAGCTTTAAACTTCTGAGGAACACTAACAGTATTTCAAAGATGCCTACAGTATTTGAGATATCATTACAGAATCTAAGTTAGCTTTACAATATTTGAAATATCTCTACAGTATATAAGTTAGCTTTACAGTATTTGGGATATCTCTACCGCATCTAAGTAAATTTTACAGTATTTGAGATATCTTTACAGTATCTAAGTTAGCTTTACAGTATTTTTAGATAACTTTACAGTATCTAAGTAATCTTTACAGTACTTGATATATCTGTGCAGTACCTAAGTTCGCTTTACAGTAATTGGGTTATTCTACATTTTAGAAAGCTTTATAGTTTTTAATTAAAGTTTACAATATCTGGGGGTCTTTTACCTTATTTTTGGATGCCTTAACAGTCTTCAAGGTAATTCATATTATTTAAGGAACCATTTACTATCAGAGTAAGTTTTACATTGTTCAAGGAACCTCACATTGTTGGAACAACACAATACTGGTATTTGACTTAAATTTACATTATTTTGAAGGATTTATACAGAAAATCACAATTACTTGTTTGGCCACCCTTCGACCTCCAATGAATGGTGGAAACATTCTTTGAACCTCTAACAACATGGCCTCCAAGCATTCACCATCCTCCACAAGACTGCTCTGCATGTCTGTCTGTATTAAATATGAACTGAAATCTTAACTGTTCTATAGACTCATCTTCACAAGGTCAAGGTTTCGTGATAATGTTCCTTTTCACAAACCCTCGACAAAGTCGCTATTTAAAAGTTAGGCTTGTGGTTCCACATGACGTAATGGTTAATTATAAACCAACCAATGAGAATATATCTTTTAAATCTGTCATTTTCAAGTGACTCAATCCACACCATATCTTTTGAGACCGCTGGAGGAGGATCTTCCAAAAATTAATCTCCGATATTTTATTTGAGGTAACTGGTCACAAATCCTACAATATTGGCACTTTCCATTTTAAAGACAAGTATATTTGTTTACAAAACTTAAACAATAAAGGCTGTTTTCTGATTGGTTCCAGTCCTAAACTGGGAAGAAATGAAATAGTAGCTTTCTAACCTGATTTTTAAATAGCAACTTTTGCCAAGGGCTTGTGTAGAGGAATGATATCACTAAAACTTGACACTGTGAAGATGCTGAAGACTATAATCCCAAACTTTCCTAAATTCAGTGAAACTCATTTTTAAAATAAATTTTAAACATTTGCTTTAATCATGTAACATTTTAAATAATTTTGTAACTTGTCATTTTGAGATATCACACTTATTACTTTTTGTAACCTCCAAGCAAGACAAAAAACACATGTATATAAGAGGATTGTCTGCAGAGCAAGGGAGAGCTTGTTACGTATGTATAATCTTTAATCCTCTTTTAAAAGATACACACATGTACTCATGAAAATCAGCCCTTATATATGTATATTCTATCTATCTCCTAACCCTTTCTAGTCATCTCTGCAGCCTAATAAACTCGCTTGTTGTGAATTTGTTGTCGGATGGCATAAAATTCACATGCAAGTTAGTGGCTAGTTAGTGACTAGAAAGGGTTTGGAGATGGATAAAATATACAGATTGGTTATAGAATATGTCTAGAATTAGGGAATGAAAGGTAGTTGATTGAACAATGCTGGTAAGCGGCGAAATACATCCCCAAAGTGAGCAGAAAATCTTGTGCCGTAAATTGCACAATATTTGCATTACGGGATCTGTAGCGTTATGGTCAAAGACTAAAATATAAAACCATAACGCTACAGTTCTGCAGGTAATCTGGACTTTACCTGAAGGCTTCCAATCTGGACTTTACCTGAAGGCTTCCTATCTGGACTTTACCTGAAGGCTTCCTATCTGGACTTTACCTGAAGGCTTCCTACCTGAACTTTATCTAAAGGCTTCTTAGCTGGACTTAACCTAAAGACTTCCTATCTGGACTTTACCTGAAGGCTTCCTATCTGGACTCTACCTGAAAGCTTCCTATCTGGACTTTACCTGAAGGCTTCCTATCTGGACTTTATCTGAAGGCCTCTTATCTGGACTTAACCTAAAGGCTTCCTACCTGGACTTTACCTGAAGGCTTCCTATCTGGACTTTACCTGAAAGCTTCCTATCTGGACTTTACCTAAAGGCTTCAATCTGGACTTCATCTGAAGGCTTCTTATCTGGACTTTACCTGAAGACTTTCAATCTGGATTTTATCTGAAGGCATCCTATCTGGACTTTACCTGGAGGGATCCTATTTGAATAAAAAGTGAGGTCAATATTGAGGACAGGGCCTTGGGAACCAGAGCTGAAGTAAACAGGAGGAGATGATTGTCTACAAATTCTTCATGAGCTCCGTGTGGACATCGCTGGATTTTGTCAGGAAAGTGAGAGGTTTCACCACATTTCTTCTGTTTTATTATGTTTAGCAGGTGATCCTACAATTGATAAATCTATTCCAAGTCAGCTGATTGAAATTTCTAATTCAAAGGAAGGAGAAAAGGAAATTTATTTAAATTTTAAGAATATCCATTTTTTCCCAGAAAGGATAAATGTGTCACAAATAAATGATGGATTAAATATTCTTATCCTAATCATGATAATAAGGGTTTCCTTACCTTGGCCTCTAAAGCTTTACAGAAGGAAGATCCGCCAGTCAGGGGGAGTTTGATTGACACAGGGACAGAGATGATACCTGTTAGAGGACATGATAGGCACAGTTTATGACAAAATTATAATTCAATACGATTCTGATTTTGAATCAGTCCCTATCATGAATTTCATTCCAACTACTATACATAATATTACCTGTGAAATAATAATATTACCAATAATATTTTACATGCCTCCTTCCATATTTAGGTTTTTGAGAGAATTATATTTACTAGTATTTATCAACACAGAGTTATTCAGTGCAATATAGATTATTCTTTGTAAATTTGTTCATCTATGAAATCTAAATGATGATACAGTTATACATGATTAATACTAAGTAATACAAATTTAAAGTGAACAATTAATTGGATATAATTTACAGATATAAAAAGTAACTATATATATGGCTATAAATACAGTTGAACTTGGGTATCTCGAACATGGATATCTTGAATACAATGGATATATGTCAAAATGATTGGAAAGTCCCAAGCCTTTTTTCTTTGAGTATTTTACCCTTTATATCTCGAACCCACAGATATCTCGAAGTTTTTTCTCGGTCCCATCGATTTCGAGATAACGAGGTTTGACTGTGGTTATTGGATATCAATTAAGGATAAAACAGAATAATTTTGACAATCACTAGAGAATTATATTTATCAGATTTATACACTGTGACAACATTTACCTGTATAGATATATATATATATATAACTTTACCATGCCAGTGAGTGGTGGTCAGGCCAACAATTTGGTTTGTAGCCTCTTCTGCATCTTTGAAGTCCATCCCCAGAAACAGACTGAGACAGATCTCTGTACAAAGGGACTTCATAAAGGAGTAAAGGGAAACCTCACACCTATAATCAAAGTACTCAAAGTACTGGAAGTCATATTCTCACATCCTTAATCAAAGTATTCAAAGTACTGGAAGTCATATTCTTACATCCGTAATCAAAGTACTCATAGTACTTCTAAGTATTCTCACACCTGTAATCGAAGTACACCAAATATTTGGAAGTCCTGTTCTCACATCTGTTATTTTATTACTCAAAATACTGGAAGTCATATTCTCACATCTGTGATCAAAGTACTCAAAGTACTGGAATTTGTTGCTACTAACCATAAAGTAAGGTATTTTACTTAAATTTTAGTTGACATCTGCTGTGTGTAATTTATTGAAATACCAGATTTAAGTTCCCTTTCAAGTTTCAGGTATATGAAGATACTCAGAATCCAAATACTGAAAGTCAAAATGTCAAAAGATACCTCCCCTTAGGTAGTAAGACCTGTCTTATCACATAAGATTGACTCATAGGCAACTTACCGACATTCTAATCGATGGATTCTGTCTTCTACAATTCTGAAAGTAAAACAGAATAATGTGTAAGACATGAGAAGGTTAAGATTTGGATAATAGTTGCAAAGAGTTGACAGTTTGTGATCTCACAACACTGATGATAAATGATGAAGAATTTCCTACAATCAATCTGAAGCAATAATTTGAAGAACAGATGAAATACTATATACAGGGTTATTTTCGCCCCATGTTATTTTTGCCCTTTCACACTTGCAAGCAATTTTGTCCCATTTTAAATTAGCCCAGTCAGAGTTCTGTTTAAGAAATTATACTGTGTTCTTTGAATTCGCCCCGTTTAAATTCACCCACCTGTGAGTAGGGCAAAAGGAGCAAAAAAAAAAAAATGGGAGCGATAATTTCCCTGTATACAGTAATAATAATCGCAATAAAAATTTGCTATGGTACCAAATAAAATACAAAATAAAAAAATTAGGTACGAATAAATTTTAGGCTTCCAGTGTCTTAATGAAAATAAAACAAAGCGCAGACATGTACGTGTGTTTAAAGTTGGATTAAAGTACCTTCAAATTGCCCTTGTGAAACCTTTATAATGAAATATGTGCTAGTATATCCTACATTAACAGCAGGCACCTCATTAAAGCTAACAGTAAAGCAAATTCTAACCTCTCAAAAGCATGCATTTAGGTATATCTGTAAGCACCTTGATATAACTTTTTAAATATCGTCTTAATCAATAAAACCTTAAAGGTTAAAAAGTTTTCTTTTTTCTCTCATATAAGCTGCAAACCAAACATTACTATATGATAGTTTATCTGATCTACTAAAGCTATTTGCAGTGCCAAACACGTTAAAGTTTTCAGCTGACAGCCACTTTGATTATATGCAAGGACCAAGAGATATACAACATTCACCTGACAGTTTCATTGTTCATCTTGTCAAAGGGGATGTCCCAGATTTGCATATTAAACCAGGGTTTGACATTAACTTTTATGAGTACTAGACCAGTCGGGCTACTTCCCATAATTTTTACTAGCCCTGGCCATAAATTCACTAGCCCTGATCAAACTTGAAAATTTTCTTTTTATAACCTGCTACTATAATGAAAAAAAGTTTTGAAACCATACTACAATGTTTCTCTTGCATGTGTTCAGGTATACATTTTGACAGACTGTTCCATAGGTAGCAGTCCATTGAGCCCATAGGTAGCAGCCCAATGAGTCAACATGTGAATATTATAAGCTTTAAAGAACATTAATTCAAGGAACTTAAATAAAATTATTACCATAAATATACATGTAAATAAATTAAAAACTATATTATTCGATGACTATTCATACCAAATGGTACTGAACCAAGGTAGTTTCGATCGCGACTTGTCTATTACAGCCGGGCTCAAAAATAGCGATTGTGTCATGCAGGGAAGTTTTCTTTTTCAGAGCAATGGCTGTGTTTGCAATCGGAAAATCAAGAAAATTTCCTTAAAAATTTTTTAGAGCACTTATTTGAAAGACTGAAATGAGGGTTAACATTTATTTCATCCACACGGCCAGTCAGTCTAGATCATGAATATTTAACACGACCAGACCACAAATTTACTAGACTGGGTCGGTCGGACGTGCCTTAGTGTCAAACCCTGTAAACATATTTCACACACCTGTGTGAATTTCATATACATTACTAAACATGTACATGCATTATGGTAATATTTCAATAGTGTACATTAAGGGACTTCAAATAAAGCCATTTTGAACACATATAATCTGTTTTACAAATATGCCATTTTCTTTTAACCTTTACCAGTGAAGATTATTTGCTATCTCATATGAATCAAACAGAAGTTACTGCTTGTGAAAATCTTCATCAAATGACTGTGACAGCAAGGATCAACTCACAATGGGAGTCAACTAAGATCTGAGTTTTAATGTCGTAAACTCAAGAGTATCTGGGCTCCATGGTTTACTTAATATGGTGAGAAGGGAAATCTCTAAAACCCTGATTTCCTGTAAGTAAAGAGGGAAATCTTCGTAAATAATACGTCCAGGGTCAGGATAAGATTACAGACAGAGAACAGACTAAAGCCAGCATCACACCGAGTATGGTAGAGCAGGTAATATCCTGAGCAGCTGGTATAATACAGCATAAAATGATCTAAAAATAAGTTGAGCAAGAATACCTACGACCTCTCCTGTTGTACTAGTCCATCCTGTTTAATAAAAGATGTTTTTGTTTGTTTTGTTTTTTTTAAATCATGAATCAGAGAACAAAAGATTGTGACAAATCTGAATCCCATTGCTCCTAAACTCACACTCAAAGTACTCAGATTGGTGACAGAACACACACACAGGAATGGGGAGGGATGTCCCCCCCCCCCCCCCCAAATAATTTAGCCGATATATATAGAATACTATAGAAAACATAGCTACTATATGCCCCCTCAATCAATAATAACATCTGTTGACCTTTAAGGTAATTTTGAAAATTTGGTAGTGTACCACAAACTGAAAATGTTTGGTTGTGTCCCCCCCCCCCCTCCACTGAAATTGCTTCCTACAGGCCTGTAATGATTGCTTTGATGTGATGACTTGGTAGGTATTCTACTACAGTACACAAACACAGTACTCAGTACTTGTGATGTCACTCTTTTGTTTGAGCGCTCCATTATTTTTCAGGAATGGAGAGTTGCAAATTACAGTGAAACCGGTATTTTGCTATGATTAAATTCTCTTTCCCGTGCCTTTACCGAAGAAAGAAAAATCATACTTGTACCGCTGAGAATCGATCCGGGTACCCTTACCATGATAGTCAGACACTCATCTCACTACGCTATCAAAGCTGTTTACAGACGACAGATTTAAATTACGTTATAACACTTTACTCGCCTTATTCTCTCTCTATATATATATTAAATACTGCAAATAGTAATGTTAAATATATATTTACTGTTATACTGTGTAACTTTAATATATTTTTTATATATTAACAAACAATAATTACAAGCATTTAGAACAAAGGATTTTAAGCGGGTTAATATATGCCTCTTCATGGCCTCAGCTCCATTATTTTTAAGGAATGGAGTGCTACTTGTACACTAACCCTAACATAATGTTTATCTTGATATGGTGGCTTGGTAGGAATTCTGCTACAGTACACACACACTATCTCAGAATTCTGTATAATATTTACCTTGATATAGTGGCTTGGTAGGAATTCAGTGAGTCATTGCAGAACAATTGTGATAAAGATGACCTAAGACCTCTAGCCATTTCTCCTGTGATGACAAATAACAGATCAATAATTCTTTTTTAATTACATGTACATAATGATAATTACAACAATGTATTGAATTTTTTTTTTAATTCCTTGGCTCTAGTTGTACCTTATTTGTTAAATTATATTATTTGTACAGTTGAACACTTGTATCATAAATATCTAGTATGTATGTTTTATAACAGAGATGAAATCATTATCAAAGCTGATCACGATTCATAAAAGGCAGAGATCTATGTTTGTCCACCATATTACTCTGCATTTACTGTTAGCTTTACAGCCCCTATATAAGATGTTTAATTGGTCTCCATTCAGTGTAATCAGTTTTCACCAGTGTGGACAGACGTATTCTACTTAGCTATTGTCAGACATGATTCTGAAGTCATATAAAAGAAAGCAGATGTTAAGATGACCCCATACAGGCGGGGATCTGGGGGCACTTAATTTTAAGGAGTTTTTTTTAATGTTACATGTTACCTACTCTTTATCAACGTCTTTTAAACTTTTTTTTTATTAATTCATGTTACAGCAACAACGATCAATGTTTCCCAAAACATTTCCATCAACTGGCGGAATATACATTTTTAATGACATTTTTAATACTTTCGTTTCTTTATTCACGTTTGCATCCATTACCTCGATCGATTCATTTAGGTAAACCTCCAATGATTGGCTGAATTAATAACTCTAAATTCAAAGAACCAATGAAATTGCTTTTTATATTGAATCAATAAAGTAGGTATAATGTGGAGCCAAACAGATTTATCGGACAAAAACGGTATAATCGAAAAATATTGAGAGACTTAAAAAAGCGGAATATAACTTTTAAAACGGATTGAACAAATTTCAAAAGCGGAGTTCCACTTTAAAGCAGAAAAAAATCATGTCTGTATTGTTAAACTCTTGGTAGTGACAAAAGTAACTTCTTCCATGGCAGAAGATACTTAACGAAGAAACTTACATCAGTTGCACATGTCAGTGCAGTACAAACAAACAAACACAAATACACATAAACTGAAATACAATGTTAATAAAGGTAATGTAAGATAACCAACATGAACATTGTATTGAAAGCAGTCAGATGTAATGAAAGCAAAGAGTATACCCCAGTGCTGATATTGGAGATAGGAAAACTAATACGGCATATGCTTATTTATGAGTCATGTTCAGCTTTAAGACTCAAATTACGTGTCTTTTTTCAAAAGTAACCTTAGAGATCTCAGAGTATTCTGCTAATATTTGTGAATTCTAGAGATTGAAGTTTGATTGTTTACATTTTTTTAATAGTTCACCTTGATATTTTATATTCATGTCTATGCAAACAATAAAACAAATGCACAAAAAGTAGCAATAGGTTACCTGTGTGACTTGGGTAACCTAAAAATGTGCACTAGCTATTAAGAGAGTTGATTTCAGTTAAAAATCTACAAACTCACCATTGGTAAACAAGATGTTGTCTCCAAATATTTCACCCATGAATTGTTTATAGCCAAGTTCTGTGTATTCAGACCCATCTACAGTACAACATAAATATCAGACATCAATTTGTTACTACTTCTAACAACAGTTTCTGTAATGGTAACATATATTTGTCAAGCACAGTTTGTTTCCTATATTAATTGTATTACCTGTGAGAAGTTTTTGAATTGTTTCATTACATCCTATGAAGACAGTCGGGACATTCAGAAATCTGGCACAGAACACCCGGCTTTTATTTTGCTGTATGTTCTTGGTGACAAATTGAACAGGGTCCCTGTAGAAGTCTATTGACTTGTCACCAAGGATTGGCAATCCACAGGATCCTGGCACTTTTGACATAATTCTGGCTCAGCTGCTGTTGACATCAGACAAAAGGGTCAGAAAAGAATTACATTAATGAATCTTACATTATCAAGGCCTTATATGAAATAACTACCTGCATATATTGGAAAAATTCTTAAGAAATTTTTATTGAGTTTATGTTCATTTTTCTTTCAAGCTGGCTATTTTTTAACAAGTTCATACAAATATTACATTACATCATATTTGCAACCAACCAAGTTGGATGACAGCAGATTTTACCATTTTACACTGACTCTAAAAATTTATTGACTTGTTGCTATAAATGTTGTTTCTTTTTTGTAGTTGATTTTTTAGCTAGCACAGTGAGTGGTGCAAAGCAAACTCTATAGACTTACATGTAAGAATTAAGATAAGAAATTCGAACAGAAATCTGCACATTCCTCAAGCAAATTTTTAAGTGAGACCTTCCCAGAAATCTTTCACTACCACAGTTCCTGTATAATGATGAATGCCACTGAATGGCATGGCAGTACTACAGTTATAGTGATTTTCTTCTTACACTAGACTCTAGAGAGAGCTTAACAGAAACAAAAAATTTAAATAAATGCATCAACTCTACAAAGCCTTCGTTAAAAAATTTTAGATTCTGTTATGGAAGTGCAATTAACGTGACGTCACAGTCTACCAGTCTAGACGAACTCCAAAAACAGTGTGAACTCCGAAAACGAAGTCTTTGGCTCCATCATGCATTGCGGCAAAATGGCGTCCGATGTAAACAAACGATGGATTGTCGTTCGTTTCTCCAAATATATGGCAGCATAATGGCTGTATTTAGTGCATTGTTATTTCATTTTATTTTTTATTGAATGGATAATTGCATTTATTAAATTATTTTGTGGATATTGACTTATTTATTGCTTCAAACTCTTGCATAATAGTGAATTGGATATACGACATCAAATTCAATACTGCCGGTAAGAAATATTTTCTTATTTAATTTATTGTCTCCTTGATTTAAATTTTATGTCGTTCCAAAAATAAAGGTGCTTTTATTTGTTTTTGAAGACACCCAGCTTGTATATTTATTTTAATCAGAAAATGCGCATTTTTCCACCACAGAGCAGAGATATTAACAGGTTCATTTTTAGAAGACATGTTGTGCCCTTAATATTTAGAAGAGTGGTTTTTAAAAATTTCATATTAATAGATAATAGTTTTAAAAATGTTTTCATAATACATTGTAATATCTGTTCGTATGTGATAAAAAATCGGTAAATAACAATGGTAATAACTTACGCGTTCAATTCCAATGTCGTACACAAATAAAAAAACCGGAATGCTAATTTATGTGTAAAATTCAGTCACGTTTTTTACAGTTACAATATTAATGTCCCATTTTGCATATATATCCCTTTTATTATGCATATTTCCTTCTCAAAATGTATCATTTTCTCTGTAATTGATCTGACTTGAAACGTTAACTTTGAAAGTAAATATCTACTTTATTGCAAATAAGATCAAAAATCTGACAAATACGATCTCTTCCGAAGTCTTTTATTTAGCATTTCTGAGTACTGGCATAATTGCCATACTTTTCAAAACTTTGCATGGACAGTTTTTGTAGACCCATCATTTTTGCCGAAAAATTGTCATTTTTTGTGTGTGTGCGCATGTGTGGACTCTATTTTCGGAGTCTTTTTCAGTCTCAATTTCTTACTTCCGGAAACGCTGTTTTTGGAGTTCGTCTAGACTGGTCTACATCTTCCAAATGTTGTGAGCGGTTTAAAGAGGTGGATCAAAGTTAAATGTAAGCTTCTGATGGTATCCAGTTGGCCTAATATATATAGATACAACTGCACTCGCCCCAACATTTGCACTGTAATTTTTTTTTTTTCTTAAACTTGTCCAACATATTAGATTATGCATAAAACAAGCATGTAAAACTCTCATTCTTATATTGGTAAAAAGATATATAACGTTACAGGCCTACACGTAACTGCGAAATATGCCTATTTCTACATATTTTGTTTTCATGTTCAATACGCTTGATTATGCACAAGTGGCTGTATTGATGAAGATAATTGTTATAAATTTATATATGCCTTTGATGTGCATCCATGTGCATTATGCCTTCCCTGCTTTACTTTAAATGCCAGTGACAAGCTAGTCCTCGTTGGGGTAATGGGTCTATTTTCATCCTATCTTGATCTGGACAATTTTAGTTCCGTCTGGTTCTACTATTCGGGTCGCCTCCAATTTTTACCTCATCTAAAGGATAGCGCTAGAAAAGTGTCGAAAATAATTGTAACGAACTCGCTGATTGGACAATTTGGAGCATTCTTTAAGTTGTACTCCAATCAAATCTGTCCTTTCTCCGTAGTCTCGTAAGCCGTTCTGGTAAAATCGCCATTTTGAGAGAAACTGTGTTGTTCGCAATATTTAATTAGTTTACATTTCAGACATAATTGGATCAAAAAACTCAAAATTCTGTGTCAGAAACAAAACTAAGGATCTGAAGTCCTTAACCAACATGACGGCAGGTGAAGAAATTTTAGATAATCGACCGAAGAGGAAGTTCGTATGCGGAGCTGTCGAAGGTAAAAATATTGAATGATAAAAGTGCAGTGGGAACCTCCAAAATTACATTGCACAGGCTAAGAACAGTTGGAGTATGTTATATCAAACTGGTGATAATATACTAACCAGTTATGGATTTGTTACTCTTATAAATTGTTTTGGTCTCTATCGTAAGGTTCGGCCTCCCCCCTTTTCGTTCTCCTGATGTTTGGGTCCGAGATCATAGGTGCCTGAGGCAATGCTGCTTATGAACACTTGAAGAAAAAGAGGTTGGATAACCGTCCCCTTAAAACGTGCTAAAATATAGTGTCATGTTAGGCGACTTCAATATATGAGATCGTGTAAAAAATAAAAAAAAAATTTAAGTATAATTTACTATTCCATGGATCTTTACAAGGTTGTTTTTTTACTCAGGTGACAGTTAATTAAGGCCTTTGGGTCTGTTGTTAATTATGGGCTGATCAGTCTTTATCTTCTGCCAACCTGTCTTAAATTTTGGACCAAAGTTAAGTGTCATTGCACTTAAATTTCTAGGGCCAAGGTGTCATTGGGCCGACCATAATTTCAACATGCAGTAACTGTTAGATTACAATACAATGGCTTTATATAGTGTGAAAACTCAAAACTTTGTTTGCAAATGTGCAAAGAGACATTTTGAAAAGCAATTTTTATGCATTGTTTTAAAAAGAGTAGAAGTAGACAAATCTCTCATTGCTACACTGAGACTTTACTTTTAATTTTAAAAAAATTCTCTTTCCAGTTTCCATTGATACAGATGATTAACCCCCAAAAATTATGTTAATCCTTTTCTAGTTATTTGATTCTCTTAGATGTCTCTTTGTAAACCTTTTGAAATATGTTGTTGAAAGTTGCACATATATGATCAGTCAGGGGTGAGACTGAATTCCGTCATTTTTAGAATGACGATTTTTAGTCATAAAATAAAATTTTTATTATGACTTAAACTCGTTATTTTTAAGATAATGACAAAAAAACAGTCAAAAAAATTTAGAGTGTTTCTAGAATACCAAGTTACCTCTCTTTGAAAAATGTTAGATCCACCAAGCGAAAAAAGGACAAAAAACATCGTAAACAAACTTCATTTCTCTAATACACTTGACTACAATACTGGTTATGTTGACAGTACAGATTTCACTAGCAAAAATACGAGTGGAAGAGTTATTTGTCAATTTATTTGCATTAAATAGGAAAGAAGATGAAAATGACGATATTCCATCTTTTTTCAAAATGGAGGGTCTGGGCGTAACTGAAATATCTCGTTTGTTTTACGGGGCGCACTACTTTTTTATGGCTTTAACTTTTTGTCGAGACTTTTCTCTACAAGTACGTATTCTTTCAGATGTTGTACTGTATGTTTTTACAGGGCTAAAAGCCGTGTAAAAATGGTGAATTAGTTCTACCAAAATTCGACATTTTACCGCTAAATAATAACTTTCATTCTCCATGTTGATGTTCTAACGCACGTGGTCGGCAGTAATTAGTGACCCGGATGAAATGAAACTTGCGTAAAAACACTTCTTTCAGCGGTGAATTCAAATTTCGCTTTTATGTAACCAGGAAGAAGAATTAAGTTGAAAAAGAAAATATGATGATAGTAAGTCATATTGACAAAAATGACGAAAATACGTAGTTAGTAAATATGACGATTATCCATCATTTTTCAGAAATGACAGATTTCAGTCTCACCCCTGACTAATGATGCATTGCTACTGATGTTTACATTTTCATAATTCCATTTTTACGGCATATAGTTTTAGCTCAGCAAGCATCAACTGTTAAAGCAGAAAAAAGATCCTTCACCCCAGCAGTCGGTTATTGAGACAATTTACTCCCTAGACTAAAGAAAACATAACATTTTCAATAAAACTTTGAAGAAATGTTTATTAAGATAAAAGTCAAGTTACTCAAGTAATCTATAATTACACAAGATTTTCAAAAAAATATTTCAAACTTGCAACTTAAAATTAAGTGTAATCTGGTCTTTCAAAATCTGCCTGTACCCAGTATTGTTACCCAGCTAAAGTCATGTTCATTGTATAACAGACCGAAGTATTTGATGCAGAAAAATTCAATAACATATTTAAGTAAAATGGCTGTAACAAGGTACTTCCTATTTTAGTACAAGTACTGTACTGCCTGTTTCTAATCTTTTTGAAAACCTTGGTGTTAATAATAGAAAGTTTACTGTAGTACACTTAGGCCCTGTGGATGAATCTGGAACAGACAAGCTGTCTGATCATCAAGGACATGTTATTTAAATTAAGAACACAGGATTGTCCCTAAGACCCAGGGGCCAGGGAATTTCCCTGCCTATAAAGATGTAATCCCCAGGTTATTTTGGTATTCCTCCTAAACTCCCCATTAAGGGAGGAACCCCAGTTCCCCTTCTACTTCTATTCTTAGGGACAACTCTGAGAATACATTAAAACATAAAAAAGCTAGGCTTTAATACATTAACTAATAGGAGCATATTGATTGAGTAATATGGAAGGTAAACCTTTAAGATTTAAATATAAAAATGTAGGATATTTTACACCCTTGATCTTCAAACATGTCGGGTAAATTCAGACCCTTTCAAATTTGGACAGGTGTATTCGGTCCTAAACTCAAAATTTTGACACTTTATTTAATTTTGTATATTCAAAAGTTCAGAACTTCGATGAATTTAAAAAATTCTCTATGTGAGTTGCTACTGAAGCTCTTCAGGCTTATGACTAGATATATTATCCTTAATATTAATATCCTATTTCATTGATAAAGCCCAACCAAAGTACAGGACTTTAGGAGTAAGTTTGCTGGGATTAGAAAAAATGACAGAAGATGAAATGTTTGATATTTGCAGTTGTTATCATGTTTTATTTATATGGGAGTATTGAGTTGATTTATATATGCTTTGCAGGATTTTATGGAAGACCATGGACCACAGAGCAAAGGAAAATTCTGTTTGAGTGGTACAATTATTTTTATTATTTTAAGTATTAATGAAGTAATTTTTTTAGCATAATCAGCATGTTCAGTAAGATACCAATTTTTGACATTAATAAATTGTCTTACCAGTTAGATTTTTAATTGAATCATAATGCCCAGTTAGAAAACATTTGTTCTTATACAATTTTATACAGTTCTTTGATGAAAAATTTGGTTCTTGAAAATTTCATTTATTTGAAATGGATGTTTTGCAGGTTGAAAAAGATGAAGATGAACACATACATGTATGCTCCTAAAGATGATTGTAAACACCGAGCCTTCTGGAGAGATCTGTACTCGGTAGAAGAAGCCGGTGAGTCAGGGGTCAAAGGGCAGTAGAATTGTAGTTCAGAGTACACCTGTACTCGGTAGAAGAGGGGTCAAAGGGCAGTAGAATTGTATTTCAGAGTACACCTGTACTCAGTAGGGGTCAAAGGACAGTAAAATTGTAGTTCAGAGTACACCTGTACTTGGTAGAAGAGGGGTCAAAGGGCAGTAGAATTGTATTTCAGAGTACACCTGTTCTCAGTAGAAGAGGGGTCAAAGGGAAGTAGAATTGTAGTTCAGAGTACATCTGTACAGAATTAGAATAAGTCTTGCCAACTGATTAATAAGGCCATCCTTAAAAAAATTGTTTTTTTTGCGGTAACGCAACTCATCATTTTAGATGCGAGTAGGAAGGTAGGTAATTTTTTTTTTTTTGTAGACAAATGTCGGGAATTATTTAATTTAAGGTGTTGTAATTTTAACACCAGCATTCGATGCACCCAGATTCTTAAACGTATAAGAATCACATATTCTTACTGAATCATTCGGACAATTCCTGGCACACTGCAAGTTATCAAGAAAATTTTGTCGGTTTTAAAGCACATCTTGATGGTCAAATGCTTAATACGACCTGTCTCTGCAATCCTCAGGAGTCCACCTTAACCTAATCTCTCATTTGTTTTTAACTTTGATCTAAAGATCAGATAACCAGTTTTTAAAATTAAATTTTATAATTACTGAAACCATAGGTGTATTTACATTCTTCAATTCATCCTGCTGCATTTAATATTTCATGGCCTCTTCTCTCTCTCTATCCATTTTTCTCCGATTCCATATTTGACATACTTTTAAAAACTATTTTGACGTGAATTGATATAAAGTATGGAATAAAATTCCCGTTAAAAAATAAATGTGCTGCATATCAAAGATTTCTTTTCTTTTTTTTTTTTTTTTTTTGATCAAAGGGTTTGAACATTTATTTTTAATACATTTCCAATTGATTTTTAAAATTCATTAAGTGGATCGATTTTCCCCCCTTTTCTCTCTCAAATTAACACAAATAAAAGGAGTGATAATTTAGGTCTTCATGTTGAACAGTTAAATGACGAGAAACTAACTTATCCAGTACAAAGCATCTGTGGTCATTTACCGAATGTATTGCATTACTTACGTTTATAACTGGAAAATACGACCCGATGTTGATTCCTACTGGACTTTTAGAACTATCGCAGTGAAAAACTACATTAGATGGAAAATATAAAACGTTTCCCTTCAGTGTTGATTTTAACATGTTTAAGATAGTGATAAAAAAATGTAAGACGACTAATATCTCAATTTTTGGAAACCTGGCAAAGTTTTAAGCCTAAGGCGACTTTTTCGACCCAAATTCCCTCTAGCTTCAAAGTAAACGCGCGTGTCAATGACAATAATCATAGATGTGTTTCCCGCGGACTTGTCGTCACCATTTAAACATCGGTTTGTCGTGATCATCAAAATGCTTTTAATAGTTGCAGATTGAGGAAATCAAGCGTCTCTATAATTCAGACATCAAGAAAAAAAGGGTTGGATAAAATCGGAAAGTAGACACGCATGTAAAAAAAAAAATCATACTTTGAATAGGTTAAAAACAAATTTGAGTCGGGCGGATTTTGATGAGTCGGTCTCGTTACCGCAAAAAAAAAATTTTTTTAAGGATGTCCCAGCTTTTTAGGAGTGATGGCTTTTTAAAAAATAAAAATGTTATTAGCTATGTATACATCAGATAGACTCAGGTGAATTGTACATGACGTCTATCATGATCTTAGGCGTCTTATTAATACAGAATCCTGCTTCTTGATGACAGGGAAAAATTGTTTCCAAAATTATGCAAAATGCCTCATAAAATTGCCAGTTGATAAGGAGAAATAAGTGAGGTATGTTTATAGAAACTGATGCAGTTATTTTTAACTTTTTAGAGAATTTGACATCACTGATAGAAGCTGCTAAGGAACATGGAGTGGAGTTTGTTTATGCTTTGTCTCCAGGCCTGGACATTACTTTTTCTAGCACCAAAGATGTACAGTTTCTTAAACGCAAGCTGGAACAGGTAATAAAGCGTAATTATATTCTCAGAATTATAATTTAAAAGAGATGAATTTTCAGCAATACTTATTATTATACCTTATTATAACAATTCTATAAAACACATAATCTGATTGGTTTAGACACATGACAGAGAAAATAAAACATTGAGTATCTTTGGAAAAAATATAATCAACCACTTTGGAACACTCTTAACATTTTCCTATAGAAGTTAATTGTTTTTGGCTGAGAATACTAAGCAAACATAAACAGGCACACTGTCTGCTGACTGTAGGTTACACATTCCCAGTGAGAAATTATTGTCCAAATTAACTGGATAGAAAGGACTCAAAGATCATGTTTTAAAGCACAAAACTTGCAGAAAAGAGTTATGAAAAGTGAATTTGGGATTGGTGTTTATTTTTAAAAGTTAAGCTTGATTTGATATAATAAACGATAATGAATTTATTGCATAAATTTTTGGAAAATAAGAAGATTTATTCAGGGCTATTCCAGGAAAAAATGTACGGGAGGGTTGGACGGCACTTCATATATTTTTGTATGGGTAGTGGGTCTGGAGCAATTAAATTTGTATGGGTGGTTGTCCTCACTCGATATATTTTTAGATGGGTGGTTGTATTTACCCTCACAAATAATCAAGTGCAAAGTACTTCTTTCCTATCATTTTTTATAAATCGGTAAATACTGATATTTTCGTCCTAAACAGTTGTAAAGTGTGTTAACATTGAAAGTGAAAGTAGAATCGAACAAAACGGAAACAAGGGCAGATAACTATAAAAGCATGTGCAACTGTGACTGCAATGAGAGTGGGGGATTGGAAAACGGATTAGTTGTGCTTTGGACTCCCTGGTCCAGCTTCTTTTCGCCAGTTTAATCAAATATGATTACATTGGTAAATTAAATGAAATTAGAAACAATCAGAAAGATCGTTTTATTTTAAACCGAAAGTAGAAAAAAACGGAACTGATAATGAACGTTTTAGAGCATGACTACGGAGTTTGCAAGTCAAATATTTTACTTTATACCACATACAGAGTAAAAGGAAGATGAGATATGAGTTTGAAAACAATATGAAATATATTATGTCAAAAACATGCCAGTCCTTAACCTGTTAAGTGTTAACTTGTCGAACTTGTATGCACCAATGGTCTAAGTTGTTAGATGGGATTTAGAATTCATTAAATATATTTTTTTAATCAAAGTTTTCACTTCACAGACACTGCCTACAGAAGTTTAGTCCCCCCCCCCCTCCCCCACCTGAAAAAAAGCAGTAATCATGTTGTTATGAACAAGGTGAACAACAATTGTTAAGGATAGCTAGGCTATAATTTACAATATTAATTTTAATTAATTGTAGGAATGTCATTTCTACTAGTACATGGGTATACATACTTGTAAAAGCTTTACCTAAGCTTTACAGACTACAAAGTCATGTATCAGAACAGATATACAAATCACTATAATAAAGGCTTTCAGTGGTGTGTATCATAGGCCTAAAGGAACATATTTTTTTAAGCTGTAGCAGGAACATGGGGAACTGTTTTACAAAAAAACTTATGACTAAGACTAAAAACTTTAGTTGTTCATAAAATCTTACAAAACTTGTGTTTCTGTTAAAAATTGTTGGCATAAAACTATCTTTTTTTTCAAAAAGATTTAAAACATTTTTAAAGTAATGCAAAAAAGAAATTTATTTGCATAATAACATTTAATTTGATCTTAGTCATAAGTTCTTTTGTAAAACGGGCCCTGGTGTGATAGATGTCAAAACCCAACACTCATTCGAAGTCAGATAAATTACAATACCTGAAAAAAGTATATAAAATTTTATTGTATATATATATGTGTGACACAATTTTTTTTTTAAATTTAGATGGGTGGTTGTATCAAAAGCAATTTTAAATTGATGGGGGGTGGGGTAGAAGGTAATTAAAAATGTATGGGTGGTGGGGTAAAAATAAAAGTGCCTTCCAACCCCCCCATACAATTTTTCCTGGAATAGCCCTCACCAGAAAAATCATATTGCCTTAACGGCCTAAGGGAATATGACATCTTTTCTAAACAAATCTTCAAGCCTATGATGAATATGATTTTTTTTATGGTTAAATAAATCTTCATACATGTATTTCTCTCAAGATTAGATAATAAATGTATAATATTCTTGTGTAGGTGACAAGTTTCGGATGTACAGCATTTGCACTGCTGTTTGATGACATTGAGCCTGGATTGAGTGAGACAGATCGCAGTGCTTTCCAGTCATTTGGGGCAGCCCAGGTGTCGGTCACAAATGAAGTTTATCAGCATTTAGGGCAACCCCAGTTCTACTTCTGTCCCACAGGTAAGTGTCAATACTCAGGAAAATGTATACTGGTATACAAATGAAGGAAATGTCAGTATTTTGAAAACTCATTTTAAAGAAGATATTTCTATATAAGATACAGTTGAAATTTGCTATCTTGGACACTGATAACTCAAATACCATGGATATGTCAAAGTGATTTGGAAGTACCAACCCCTCATTCTTTAAGTATTTTACCCTTGATATCTTGAATCCTCGGATATCTCGAAGTTTTTCCTTGGTCCCATTGAGTTTGAGATAACAAGGTTTGACTGTATAATGAGATTTATAAGAGTTCCTAGGAAAGAAAGATAAATGGTTAGACCTATTTGTTGAACACTGTTAAATACTAATATTCTGTTGATTTTGCAGAGTACTGTTCGTCAAGAGCTGTTCCAAACTTGCTATCATCAGACTATCTAAATACTCTCGGAGCCAAGCTACTGAAGGACATAGATGTCTTATGGACAGGTATTGTTCTGAAGTTATTTTGACTTTTAAGCTTTTCTCTGCTGGAAGCTCAAGTTAGCTTTTCTGGTCAAAGTTTGTCGTGTGTCTAGCATCTATTAACTTTTTAGTGAGCGTTTCTGATTTAAAAGTATCCAGCTTTCATCTCTTAGTCACGTAATCAGGATTCCACAAGTACATCAGTTTGTTTACAAGGTGTTCCTGGAATTCTAGTTTTGTTGATGTGAACAATCGCATACCAAGAGTTGTTTTGATCAAACGGACTCCTTTTGGCACCAAAAAAACTAATGATGCATAAAATCTTGATGATAACCAGCAGTCATATTTATAGTCTAACATCTTACAGAGTTTTTAGCTCACCTGAGCTGAAAGCTCAAGTGAGCTTTTCTGATCACCCGTTGTCCGTCGTCCATCCGTCTGTAAACTTTTCACATTTTCAACTTCTTCTCAAGAACCACTGGGCCAATTTTAACCAAACTTGGTACAAAGTATCCTTGGGGGAAGGGGAGTTTAAATTGTTAAAATAAAGGGCCAAGTCCCCTTACAAGGGGATATAATCAAGAAAAGACAAAAATAGGGTAGGGTCATAAAAAAATCTTCTTCTCAAGAACCACTGGTCCAGAAAAGCTGAAACTTATATGAAAGCATCCTTGGATAGAGTAGATTCTAAATTGTTAAAATCATGACCCCCGGGGGTAGGGCGGGGCCACAATAGGGAATCCAAGTTTTACATTGAAATATATAGGAAAAATCTTTAAAAATCTTCTTCTCAAGAACCACTGAGCCAGAAAAGCTGAAACTTATGTGGAAGCATCCTGGTGTAGTGTAGATTCTAAATTGTTAAAATCATGACCCCGGGGGGTAGGGCGGGGCCACAATAGGAAATACAAGTTTTACATTGAAATATATAGGAAAAATCTTTAAAAATCTTCTTCTCAAGAACCACTGAGCCAGAAAAGCTGAAACTTATGTGGAAGCATCCTGGGGTAATGTAGATTCTAAATTGTTCAAATCATGACCCCTGGGGGTAGGGCGGGGCGACAGTAGGGAATCCAAGTTTTACATTGAAATATATAGGAAAAATCTTTAAAAATCTTCTTCTCAAGAACCACTGGGCCAGAAAAGCTGAAACTTATGTGGAAGCATCCTGGTGTAGTGTAGATTCTAAATTGTTCAAATCATGACCCCCGGGGGTAGGGCGAGGCCACAATAGGGAATCCAAGTTTTACATTGAAATATATAGGAAAAATCTTTAAAAATCTTCTTCTCAAGAACCACTGAGCCAGAAAAGCTGAAACTTAAGTGGAAGCATCCTTGGGTAATGTAGATTCTAAATTGTTCAAATCATGACCCCTGGGGGTAGGGTGGGGCCACAGTAGGGAATACAAGTTTTACATTGAAATATATAGGAAAAATCTTTAAAAATCTTCTTCTCAAGAACCACTGGGCCAGAAAAGCTGAAACTTATGTGGAAGCATCCTGGTGTAGTGTAGATTCTAAATTGTTAAAATCATGACCCCGGGGATGGGGGGGGGGGGGGCACAATAGGGAATCCAAGTTTTACATTGAAATATATAGGAAAAATCTTTAAAAATCTTCTCAAGAACCACTGAACCAGAAAAACTGAAACTTATGTGGAAGCATCCTGGGGTAGTGTAGATTCTAAATTGTTCAAATCATGGACCCTGGGGGTAGGGCGGGGCCACAATAGGTATTACAAGGGGGGAAGTCTGGTAATGAACAGTATGGCCAAAGTTACTCAGGTGAGCGATGTGGCCCATGGGCCTCTTGTCTTGAATTCATGGTCCAAAGGGCTAAGATGGGGCCACAAAAGGGAGTTGAAATATATTAAACAAGAATTATCTAAAGCTGATGAAGATTAACAAGGCCATCATTTGTCAAATCTACAGTTAAACATCTTGATGCAGAGAAGAGATAGATACATGGCCCTTAAGGGGGCCGACTGGGGTTTTCATTGCGCAATACTTCGCGCAGCATAGTAAAATAAAGCGTATTTACTCTTTTAAAGCAACTATTTTTACATAATTTACAAAAATTAACAAATTTAGGAAAACTAAGGTTAAAAAATCTAATTACCTTTTTAAATAACTGATTTTTTAAACGATTTTTCAAATGATGGGTAGATAGACGTCGTAACAGCGTGTTTCTGATGTCATGAATAACCGAAGTTCTTTAAGCGGGGTCATTAATTATGTCATAAAATAAAAAGTATAAAATAGATGCTCTTGAAATTTTAAACACAGGAAATTGAGAATCTCATAATCATTTTTATTTTTTTTTATGTAAATCTGTGGTATCTGTCATGTTTTGTTGTACTCCATAAACAGGAAAATATCACGATTTTTGACATTTTGAGATGCCCCCTCTGGAAACCAGACGGTAGAATTTTGTGTTTCTTGCAAAAAATGTACAATATAGTATTACCCATCAAATAATATAATTTGAGCAAAAAGTCTATAGTAGCATTTGTATAATTTGCTCCAAAGTGCGAAAAAATGGTATTTTCCTATATAACCCTATAGTAAATGTACCTGTATTTTGAGATGGTCCCTAAAAAATAACCAGACGGTAGATGTTCACTAAACTTGGCATATATACTGAAGTCAATGTAAGGTATATATGGTATAAAATTAAAGAGTTTCTCTATAGTAGTTTTCACACAATAAAACCCCAGTCGGCTCCCTTAAGGACTGGGTGAACACATTAAAAAAAATTTTGGACACTGAGAAAAATAATGTTACAAAGGTGTAAATACTGAGTGTATCTATTTCATGTTCAACCTTTGGTACTTCTCATTTAATATCCTGACAGAACAAAGTATTGATCAACATACATCACTGCCGCTTTCTTAAATGGGGAAAATACATGCCAGTAAAGTTTTCAATTGATTTATTCTAACTAATCAAAAGTAAAGAATGTTTAAATTGATTAAAAATAGAGTAATACACTGTTGATTTATTTTATAGTAAATCAAAGGGCAGATCACTCTAACTGCATAGATATCAAATGAAATTTGTCAGGGGTCTCATGGAATGAGTTGACATGGGACCCTTGACCCTGTGAGGATGAAGAATACCATGGAATTGAAACTCTTTAGCATGCAGTGTATAGAGGGTTATTAAAGCAAGGACATAGCTACAAGTGGAGGAGGGGGGAGTCAAAGTTTCTACAATTGAATAAATAAAGGAAAAACCTTTTAAAAATCTACTGTGGAATCACTGGAATCACTATTTAGTTTTGTTTGTGGGGAACCCTTACCCACAAATTTATATCCCTATGTATCGATTTATTGAATCTTTTGTATATTCGAGTTACCCACAAAATCAGTGTACTTCCTCACAAACCAATAAAATATTGGTTACCCTCGAATTAAAATGATTCCACAATAGTCATGTTTTAAAATATGCAAGCAATTCCAGTTTATTCAAGGCAAGGCCTCGGGACTACATTTGTTGCCACAGTTGTAAAGTTAACACCAAGCTTTAATGTATCCTTAAGTTAATGTGGTTGAAATCATGGACTTAAAATTGGAGAGATTACGTTTATCTCCAAGTGCATTTGTCAGTAAAAGAATCAGGTGAGCATTGTGACCCATGGGCAACTTATTTATTTGTCCTACAGAGTTTCACTATTGTAAGTGTTTTATCTGTTGTCAGGTCCTAAAGTGATCTCCAAGAAGCTGACTATTCAACACTTACAGGAGGTATCCTCGGTGATCAAGCGACCACCTGTTATATGGGACAACATACATGCTAATGACTACGACCCCCGCCGTGTGTTTCTCGGACCATTTGATGGAAGGTCCCCTGAGATCATTCCATATTTACGTGGACTTCTAACAAATCCAAACTGTGAATTCGAAGCTAACTATGTGGCTCTTCACACACTGGGTCAGTGGAGTGTGTCTAATAGTGACGGACTAAAGAAGGATATTATTGCAGGTAAATTTTCAGCTGAAGAAAAAACGCAAAATAATTTTGATCATGTCCAAAATTAATGATTAATATGAAGTCCATATAATTATATATTTAAAAAAAAATGATTAAAAAAGAATGGTGGAGTACATCTGAATCTGTTATATAATATGTTTTAGATGGAGAATAATATAAATATATAATGTCAATATGTTTTAGATGGAGAACATTTATATAATATATAATGTCAATATGTTTTAGATGGAGAACATTTATATAATATATAATGTCAATATGTTTTAGATGGAGAACATTTAAGTCCGGTGGCTGCTGACATAAGACTTGAAACAGAGAGTGATTTTGGTTCAAATGAAGACTTGCCATCTCGTATTGATCGTCGGTACCAGACCAGACTGGCCCTGAAGCAGGCACTGGATGACTGGATGATGGAAATCAACACAAATCGTCAGCCACCTCGTGTGGTTGCCCCCCTTACCACCACTGGTCCCCCCATTCCCATTCCTGCAATTCCAGCCCCAACAATAGACAATAATGTCACCCCAGTGTGTGGAGACAATATGGCCGCCTCCTTTGCAGGCAGTCAAGCTGCCAATCCCCCTGCTAACCTTGTAGACTCAACTATTCCCTCAGATTCCGAGTCTGAGATATCGGAGGACCCTGAACCAATGGAATACGTACCAACAGCTGTCCCCTCTCTGGAGGTTTGTAAGGAACCCTCCCCCTCCCCAGAAGACGTGATGCAGGTGGAGACGGAGGTACCCCCTGCTGTGGAAGACAAGGATTGCTGTATGACTAACACAGAGTGCTTCATGAGAGAAGATCTAAGTTTACTTGTGGATTTCTTTTACACCCCATTTGACCATGGAATGACCAGTGTCCAGTTACTACAGGATTTACACCATCTGAAATCTAACGCTGGAGTGGTGGTCAGGGGGCATGGGAGACTTAATTCTGAAGAAGCATCTGCATGGATGGAAGCTGCAGATAAATTCTTGACAGCAGTCCAGAAGGTGGACAGGATGATCCGACTGATCCAGCATATTCCTAATGCAGCAGTGGTTCACGAGTTCTTCTCCTATCTGTGGGATCTACAGGGATTGCTACAACTTTGTGCTTGTTATGTGCAGTGGCTCAGTAAGTGGGATAGTCTCTCCATTACTGTATGGCAAAGAAAAAAACTGTTATCCTTAATTTGAAAGAAAATGCATGTGAAGTATTGCCATTTTGCTGGCCACAAAATCTTGAGCAATGTATTGATTTGATTTTTTCAGAACTTGGACAAATCAAAGAGTCTGCTATTCCACGGTTGTCAGAGCCTTCTCCTAATTCTCCCACATGTAAGTTGTCTTTCTGTGTAGACATAGCAGAGTGCACCATGAGGGGAGAAATCTTGGGAACTAGGGGGAGTCCTGAAATTTACATGTATCTGAAATTTGACAATTTTATAAAAATACAGAGACTGGGTTTTGATTCCTTCCAAACAATCTAGATTGGATACAAGTTCCTAATATTTCTTTCTTGTTCTACAGTCATGTTTGATAATACTTGTTTGTTTCTGACAGACACAACAGGATGGATTTTAATAAGGTGGGCCACTCTCTTCTTTTCACATCAATCAGTAGGGGATTCTGTGGGAGAGTATTGTGTTATTGAGAGGTGTATTGCAAGGGTAGAGGCTGAGTCTAAATGTAAAGTTATTGAGTTACATTATAAGTCTGTGATGTGAAGGGAACAAGTGTGCCTGCCAAGTTTCTTTTCAGAGCAAGTTATATTTCCCTGCAGATTTCGGAGGTACAGGGACTACTTGTGAAGTGACTATAAACTTAACAGAGACTTCACAAGACAGGGGCCTGTTTACCTTGGAATCAGCTGGAGGTGTTTTATTTAACCTGGCTAGGGGAGAGAACTCTCCTCCCAGTCAGGGTGTATCATGACTGTAGAACCATTTTCTGAAGAAGGATGACCTAGCTAACCCTTCAAAACATTCCTGTCCAGCTTTTTTTCACATTTTTAACAAATATTTTTTGAATCTGTATGAAATCTTGGACAAAAATCCAGAACTTTTTCATTCTTGGCTGAACAAACATTGAGGGGTTCTAAGTTGTCTATTTATTCTTCAGCAAAATGCAATCTAGGTGCTATTATTAATGAAACATTTCTTCCTACAACAGTTGTGGTAAGTATATAAAATTTCTCTGATATATATCTGATAAGTAAAATTAAGAAATGCTATTTCTGGATGCAATAAAAAAGACAATCTGTGAGAAATGCTAATTACAGGTCTAATCTCAGCATCTTATTTTTTCTTTTGTACAATACCAGGGTGTTCAAAAGGGTATAAGGAACTGTTCCATAGTGGCGACCAGGAACCCTGGGTATTTCGTGGCGGAGTTCAGGGGGAAATCCAAGTATGTATATCGGACCAGCACCCGCCGCCGACCATCTACTCCGACATTTTACTGCTTTCATGTATTTTGTTGTGACAGTCATACTTGTATGACTGTTGATACAGAGAAGTTATAAACATTTATTAACCTTTATTTTTTGGCAGTCTTTGCTCTCCTTATCCTAAGTTTTATTTCCAGGACTGCGCTGCGGCTGACAGAAAACAGGCAGATTGTACGACCAGCTGTGTTCGGTCTTAATCTTAGCTGGCTGTTTGCCTAGAGCTACTGATGAATGGAGATTTGATCTCTTTCAACATCTACATTCATTCTATAATTTCAGTCCCCTATTCTCTTGACACAGTTGATTTTGATGCAATTTGTCTGTTCCTAATTAACTTTCTTTTTTTCAGATATTGCGCATTATGCTTTTTGCCTTGCATTTGAAAGGCATGCAAATGACGGTGGCTAGAATACTCAGTAACACGGTGAATGGTTGCTCTTGTTCACTGGTTGGGTGGGGGGAGGCGGGCAGTGTCAGTACACTAACCATTGCTAAATAAAAAGTTCTGTTGTTTTGTTTTTTTTTATAGACAGTTATAAAAACTAGTCAACAAGAGTGTTTTAGGAATGAGTTGGCGAGTATTTGTGCCACTTGTTTTTGCAGTAGTAATTATTTTTATTCATACTTAGGATAGGGATCAAAGACTGTGATATGGCAGCCTTCAATTGGATTATTTTGGCTTTTAACAGTTTTGTTCTTAATTTGGAAATTTTTTAAAAGAAAAAAAAGCTGTCATAATGTGTATCTTGCGCTCTGCGTCCAAAGAAACGGCTCTGTTTCTGCGCGTCCCTTTGATTTGATGACTGCTATAACTATAATGTTTTATTTATGCAGCGTTTGTTGCCAAGTGATGGTGCACATGACCTTTTCCTTATCAGACCACCCGAGGTCTTACTGAAGAAACTATACAGCTACAGGCCATATCTACCCACTGATGAAGTGAGTTTTAAACATTTTAGGACTGGGGCAAAGAGATGGTGTTGGGGGGGGGGGGTATGGTAGGCCCAGTTTAAACTGGTGAAAAATTGAGTTTTGAAAGACCATAGAATGCTGAAATAAAATGGGTAGAATTAAATTGACAAAAGCAATTGAATGGGAAACTTGGTCACAATATTTTTCAGTATTAAATAGCATACTTTATGTAGATTTAATATTTTCACATTATTTATTTGAGTCTAGTACTGGTAGGTCCTATACTATAGGAGCAAAATGAATTATTTTACTGCAAAATAACAGTTGTGAATCTCATTTCAGAGAGGGGGACATGAGTTGACTCTTCTTAGAGTACGATCATTCTGCTCACTTATTGGATAATTTATGGTCGCATTTTGATGTGTGCAGAATTATTATTCTGTATTTATGTAGGTGTCTGTGTAGAAAGAACGATTTTTTCATTTCTATTATTTACAGAGCTCTGTGTATAATATTTGTTTGAAAACCTGTGATGATGGGATGGATGGCACAGAGGTTTTCCCTGACTTCCCAGATCTAATAGCAGACAGGTAAGATACACAGTCTATGACAGTAGTTATGTTACCTTTATAAGGTGTCAGACAGGTAAGATACACAGTCTATGGCAGTAGTTATGTAACCTTTATAAGGTGTCAGACAGGTAAGATACACAGTCTATGACAGTAGTTAATGTTACCTTTATAAGGTGTCAGACAGGTAAGATACACAGCCTATGGCACTAGTTATGTTACCTTTATAAGGTGTCAGACAGGTAAGATACACAGTCTATGACAGTAGTTATGTTACCTTTATAAGGTGTCAGACAGGTAAGATACACAGTCTATGACAGTAGTTATTTTACCTTTATAAGGTGTCAGACAGGTAAGATACACAGTCTATGACAGTAGTTATTTTACCTTTATAAGGTGTCAGACAGGTTAGATTCATGGCAGTAGTACTTTATCTTTATAGGGTGTCAGACAAGTAGATAGTAAGATACACAATCCATGGCAGATGTTATTTTAGCATGGCAGTTATTTTAAGCTTTTTATTGCTTGAGTAATAGCCACACAGTGAAATTAATGAGAGAAATGCATTTATCCGGTAAATTTTATTTAACAAGAATAATGCCTTTCTTCACCATTGAATACAAGAAATAACACAAAGATTTAATAAAATCCAGCACTGCAAGATGTATTCTGTTTCTATGGAAGGCTGTACATTGTCAATGTAAGATTAATACTGCCAATTGCATTACACTGTCACTGAAGGATATATACTATCATTATATATAACTTATTTAATTGTAGGATCATAGGAGCTATTGTCTCTATCAGTCCTGAGTACTGCTTTGTTGTCTGTGATGAGCAAGGAGTTTGTGGTTATGCTCTGGCAGCTTTAGATGCCACACAGCTACGTCAGAAGTCCGAGATCTCATGGATACCGGCCATGTATCAGAAGTACCCCAAGCCTAATAAAGAGGAACTGACTCCCAGTGAGGTAAGGGCAGATTGTAATCCTGTATAGTGATGAAAACAAACATCACTTAGTAACAACACAGTGTCCATTCAAACCAAGTAAACTGGCCCTGAAAGTAAAGCCTAAATCAGTAAAAAGTTTTTTTTGGGGGGGGGGGGGGGGGTTAAATTCTAGTAATATTTTTTTTAAAATCCTCATTTAAAAAGTAATTATCTATTCTGGTCAGTAGAGAAATTACTTAATTGGTTTGAAACAAGACAATTTCACAAAGAACAAGGTACAGTTTCAATACAAATCTTGCCCTGTGTTTTTCATAAAAAGGAAAGTGAGATAAAAAATCAAAACTCATGCGTTCTGCATCATTCAAATTCCATGCAGAAAGATCATACAAATCATTTTTCTTATATGACCTTCTAAATGCTAATTGTGACGTCATAAACTTGTGCATTTTCCCGTATTTTCTTAAAAAGTTGCAGAAGACACCAATTTTCAATGGAATTTTCTTTCAGATAATATTGTCCACAGGCATCGCCCACAAATATTTTGAGATATGTGATTTTTCAAATAATTTTACACAACATATCCGAAAGTTTAAGTGGGCGACGGCTGTGGACACTATTTTCTTAAGGAAAATAACCCTTGAAATGGGTCATTTTGAGGCTTTTTATGTTTAAAATAGAGAAATGCATCAAATTAATGACGTCATATTTCCAGAATGGTACTCCTTCATGCCATATTCTTTCCTGATTTATCACTGTCATATATTCAACTAATATTTAACGTAGGTCGCGGGTTTGCTGACGTCGTTAAAACTGGGTACGCAATTTATATGATTTAGACGACTTTCTTGTGCACATTTGATTATGACGTCACGATGAAAAAAATCTGCGATGATTTTTTTTCCATTGAATTCTTCAGTATATCATGAGTTAGCTATAACTTTTGTTGGAATTGATAGTTTAGTGTCATATTATTAAGGAACAAACTTATCACAAATAATGAAGGCTTTATATGATTTGAATATTCGATACAATATTTAGATATTACTGTGTTGGAACTTATAGTTTGTTGTTAGCTATATTATTTATGGAACAAACTAAGTTATCACAAATAATAAAGACCTGATCGACACCGGAAGTATTAGAAAGCGTTTATTTATTCTCGGGCCTTTCCGACAGGCCGAAAAACAACCGCTTGGACACATATGGACGATATGGACACATGTTTAAACTGACATTTTTCCCTTTGAACGTATTTTAACAGTTTGTTTTATTGATAAAGAAGTTATTATGTAAATAATCGCAAATACACCTGTTACATCAAAAGTTTAAACTAAATTTTTTAAAAGGACATTTTTAAAACATATATATCTACAAGTTAATCACAAATTAAAAACTGCTAAGGTAATATGAAACATAAAGACAATTTTTGAGCGACACTGACCTCCTGTAAATAACGGCTTACAATGCTGTTAGCTACAGATTTTATTTGCAACTTTGCTTTCCACGTCCAACAAGTAATGTTCTATAAATTGAAAGGTCGCTCGTCAAAAAATATCTGCTTGTCGATTAGGTCATATACCTGTAAAATTATGTTTTAGATTCTCGCCCCATTTACCCCTCTTAAAATGATTTGTTCGATTGTTTTATTTATTTATGTATTTATTTTTAATTCTTATACGTATACTACATAAAATCAAGATCAGAATTATTTTTGACATCCTCTGTCTGTATGTGAAAAAATCGCTTAGGGCTATTTGCAGGAATGGAGAAATATCGGTGAATAATTAAGTGAAAATATTATGTATAAATACAGATAATGTCGAGAATTAACATTACATTTTGCATCTATTATCACAGAGAGATTTGAACATAGTAAAAGAAATGAAGGTCTAAATGTGTGTTATTTCGTCTAATTAAAAAAGATTACAGGAATTTCTAGAGTTTAATCGTGCTACAGAAAATGATGCACCAGGCCCGTAAAAACTAGGGAATGTATGTACTACACAAAACAAAGCTAATTTGCAGTTGCACCCCTCAACATCTTCGCTATAGCTAGCCATGGAAGGTTTTTCGTTCCACTGCGCTCCCCATAAAGACGGAGTGGACCGGAAACCTTGGCTAGCGAAAAAGCCCCACAAGAATGTCTGATAACTTTTTTCACACTTGACAATTAATGTCTGGTTGTGCCCCCCCCCCCCCTCCCTTACAAAAAAAAAAAAACCCAATGAAATTATGTGCCTGTGTATCCATAAAAAAATCTTCACCAAGAGGCTAAATTCTATCGATTGTTTAAATACGAGGCTTTGCAAAAACTCTGACAATATTGAACGATTCATGAACAAAAAATTGGACGTACAAAAATGTCAGTAATCCAGTGGAAATTTGTGATATTTTCAGAAAAAGCACGAGTGGTTCTTAATTGGTGTACTCTTTTTTTTTAAAATTTATTAACAGAATGGAGAAACGCCGACGACGTGTGGTGATACCACAGAAACATTTTGTACATTAAAGCAGCAGTTGTATGTAGCATGCATTTAAATGTTTCAAAATATTATAAGATGAGCGTTATGTTTACATGTAGCTCTTTTAAAGAATAAAAATAGAATCCATCCATTTTAGCTTCAAAAATGTGAAAAAAATGGAGACTATTTTATATATCTAATTAAAGAAAATAAAATAATAATAAAAAAAAAAAAAACATAGAGGAACTAGCTTCCGGTGTGTAATTTTTTTTTAAAAATGTATACTGAAAATATACATTGTATTCAACCTGGACGATAATTGGCGGAAATTCATGTATTAACAAATTATCGTCGATTTGAGCGCCTTGCTGAATGTGCTAAATAAAAACATTTCATATTTAGAGGATATGCCGTTTTATGCCAGCACGCTGAAAAAAAATACACAGTCAAATGTAACGAAAATTCTAATCTACACGGCAAGAAAACAACACATAAAGAAAAGAGTGTTGTTTTGCGTCCCTTGCGAGAATTTTCACTAATATGAGATGTCAAAGAACTAAAGAAGAGAAACATATCTAATAATCATTTCATTGGTATTGAATTGAATGTATTATGATACGATTCATGGGTCATTTGAAAACACAGCCGTGAATTTCTTCTTTTTTAAAAAAATTATTTTATCTTGTTTTTCTGCTCTGTATACCGGGTCGATATTCACAATGTCAAGCGTGACGTCGCGATATTTTATGACGTCGTTCTTAAAAATGTTACATTTTGCGATATAAAAGCAATTATCCACATTTAATTCACGAGAAAACTAACCCAAAGACATATTAATTTTTTCACATAGATGTATTTCAAATCATTTCTATGTTAAATTACCAAAAGGGAAACAATTTCGTCTGCACCATTTAAAAGTTATTGATATTTTCTAAAACAAAATCTGGTCTCAAAACGAGCCAAAAACGACGTTTTCCCTAAATAATTCTATAGAATAACGTTGAAAATGTTAAGACAACAATGGCATGTTTGGGATTTAATTACACAAAAACGATACAGACGAATTTTATAAAATTTTCAGAGAATGTAAAACGATGGTAGAGGATTCATATTGCTAATTTTTATGGTATGTTTTCGGACACTTTTAAAAGGTCTGCAAACCCGCGACCTACGTTAAGTCAGTTTCAAAACTTTTTGAAAACATTGAATTTTTAGGGCACAATAAAGCTAAAACCGAACCTTCTTCTTATTCAAACTATACTTTTTTTTATGGAATATTTTTATAGTACATGTATTTCTATGACTTGATTGATTTCTTGTTTGTAGGAAGTGATCATGAGTTTTCACACTCCCCAGAGATCCACACCAGTATCTGTGACCCAGAGATATCCCTCTGTGATTCGTCTGGACTTCATCCCACCCCGAGTTGAAGACTACAGTGTTCCCAAACGACTGCTGGCCTGCGCAGTCATGGCACTGAAGACTAGCGGTTCTACTGGAATCCACGTGGAGATGAACGTCGGTGACAAATGTATGATTGATCACTACCAGAGGATGGGGTTCTTCCCGATAATGGACGCCGCAGGTGGGCCAGATGATGTAGTTTACCTAGGGAGGGCCATCTGACCACTCCCAGGGCCCTCAGACCACACCCCCAAGGCCATCTGACCCCCCCAGCATTCCATACAGAATCTTACAATGGTGTAGCGCAATCGGGAACTGTTTATATGAATCAGTCCAGTAAATGTCTTACGAGACAAAACGGTCAATGTTACTGACAGGATCAGTCTGTCACAAAATAGTGCTAAGTAGAGTTTCCTTTGCAACAAAGTATCAAATGAAAAGTCTTTGGTTTTTTTTTGTTGTTGTGTAAGTTGTACATGACTTTTTTTTCATATCTGTTAAACTCGGCTGTGATGTTATGAGTAGTGCATAATTTGTGGCTCATTAAAAAATAAATTTCATTATTACCTTGTTTTATTTGTTTTGTACAGACAGGATTCAGTTTTTTAAAAAAATATAAAGCTTGTACACACAAAGTGGATGCCACTTGGTTAGAGTTCTTTCATTTCTGTTACATCTTGGGACCTTAAATGAAACAGCTTGGACTAAATTTCCCAACAGTGGATATGATATATAAGAGTTACAGAAAAAAAAGAGAAGGGCGTCTATTTAGAATGTGCTTCTGTCATATTCTTGTTTTTATATTAAATCTTGTCTTGCAGCAGGATATATTGATGTGAATGAGATGAACAATGGGAGCCAGAAATGCAATGCAGTTAGGAGCGATGTGTGTAACCTGTTGAAATTAACTTCCTAAATGTTTATAAATTACAGGTGCAATTTTGTTTCTTAAACTTGTAGCCATATTGATTTATTTGCCAAAAGCAATACGTTTATCACTAATGTAGACTATTGGTAACGTAAAAAAAATCTATCCATATCACATATATTAAGAAAAAACTTAACATGCAACTTGTAACAGCTGAATGCCTCATTGAGCGATGTGAATTGGGTAAATTTTAAGTAGTTGTAACACTGCCCTTACCTACGGAGGAACAGCTGACTAGGTCATGATCAGCTGACGGCTTGTTTATCTGTAGCTCGCTCGTTCACAGCTATTAATGAGAAATATCTTAAATACGGTTTGTTAAATTTAGTAGGTATACTGTTAGACTAATTCTATTAATCTTATGGAACGAGGAGCTACACACGTGACATTAGCGTCCATTCCTCTGTATCGCGGTCTACTAATGACCGATCAAGGACGTACACCAAATTACTCACCATAAGGTTAGTGGCGTCATTTTACAGAATGAAAAAAATCATTACTAGCAAATGGCGACTCCAGAATAAGGAAGATTAATTATTGAATCATATATGTAGTCTCGATACTAAAATGCTTTGTTTAGATGATGTTTAGCCGAATACAATAAATTCTGCAAAAAAAAAAATGTTGTAGGAAGGAATTCCGAAAAAAAAAATTAATGTTGTAGGAAGGAAATATTTACACTTGACAAACTCGACACTAGTTGATAAGGTTTTGGCAAGAGATGAGTAAATAAACCGGGGGAACATCTCAAATCTTGGTACTTACCATTAAAGGGTTGTCAGTAGTCTTATCTGTAGAAATACGAATATGGTCTAATGCTTCTTAAGTAAACATGCTGTTAACTGCAATACGCCAGGAAATCTTAATTCTATTTATTCAATCAAGAATTCCTAACGTGTGTGGAAGTATGGACGCTTGGATTTTATTATAAAACAGTGATCAAGTCAGTTATTTTCATTTTTCCGAAGTGACTTATTAATGTCACAAAGTTACTATAGTAAGAATTGTAAACTGCAAGATTTTTTAACACTCGAATCTAGAACATTATGTTTTTTCTTACAGTTATCAATTTAAATTGTGTAAAGGCCTTTGTCACAAAGAGATCTTGATGGCAAGTAAAGAGTTCATATATACCAAATATACTAAGCGTAGATTAAAAGATGACTGAATTGTACAAGTGTTCTACATAAAGAACTGAAATGACGTTAAGGTCAAAGGTCAAGGTGATAGGACATCCCCTAACGTTGAAATACCACAGACTAAATACTTATCATATAAAAACGGATTTTTACTCCGGACAGACTTATTTGCCAAAACTTTGATTGACTCTTTAATCAAGGTCATTAAGGAGGTATGATGTCAAATTGATTACGAGGTACAACCACCAACAAAATATCATACACCTTAAGTTAGCAGTTTGACCTTGACAAGCTTGCTTGCTAATCAATTTTGAAGTACTATCTAGATCCCTATATAAACTTGACCTTTGCTCTGAGTCGACTTACTTCCTTGTGACTGACGTTATATGTGGGTTTAGGAGGTACTTGAAACATTGTCTGCCGAATAATATTCACACACCAATGTCATACGGCTAGATTAAGTAAAAAAATACATTGCAATCCTAGCATGATTGTATAAAAGTCGGAAAAATTCAAACCGAGGCCCCGTGTCACAGAAGGCGTTGGCACGATAAAGAGCGCTCATTGCTCAATGGCCCTGAGTGCCGAGTAAAGGTCTAGATTTGAAGCCCTTCACGGGTATATGGTGACGTCTCTCTATATGAGTGAAAGATTCAAGGACGGGACGTAAAACAGCATACAATCAATCAATAAATCTTACCCCCAGTCTTGAATTGCTACAGTATACTGACAACCAGTCTCTAATCTCTACACTGACAACCAGTTTCTATAATGCCCTCTATAATAACAACCAGTTTCTATAATCTTCTCAATACTAACAACCAGTTTCTTAATCTCTATTCTGATAACCAGTTTCTATATTCTCCTCTATACTGACAACCAGTCTCTAATTTCCTCAGAGCATGAGGATGTAACCATTTTATTGTTTCTATGTATTACAGAATGAAAAATGACTCGGATCTCGTCAGCCATCCCGTAGACAGGGGGTGGGCGTGGGTCATACTAGCAGGTTAGTTTTTATTCTATGCCTAAACAAGTAAGGGTTAAAGACAGAGAATAAATATTTCCTTCATCTTTTAGAGCATGTAGTAGTAATGAACATCAGAGCATGTAGTAGTAACGAACATCAGAGCAGGTAGTAGTAACGAACATTAGAACATGTAGTAGTAACGAACATTAGAACATGTAGTAGTAACGAACATCAGAGCAGGTAGTAGTAACGAACATTAGAACATGTAGTAGTAACGAACATTAGAACATGTAGTAGTAACGAACATTAGAACATGTAGTAGTAACGAACATCAGAGCAGGTAGTAGTAACGAACATTAGAACATGTAGTAGTAACGAACATTACAGCATGTAGAAGTAATGAACATTACCCCCAAGAGCTAGAGGATACAATAAGAGCACAAATAGGAAAACAGAGAGTAAAGCATTTGATATCTCTTCTGATTTATATTTTCAAAATTACAAAATAAAAAAAAGTAACTAACAAGACGATGAAATACTAGTAGATATCAATGAAATATTTGAAGATAACGTACAGTATTCGAGCCCTCTAAGACAGAGGTGGGATCAGGTGCCATGGAGGAGTGAGCATCCCCTGCCAATGTTTTATTGGCAGAGTAATGGATCAGACCAAAAGAAACAACTTCTCTTGAAATTGATATTAGGTTTTTAATCATTTGATATAAATTTGGAATTTATTTTCAGCCTCCAGTCTCATCTTTATGATATACGTTGGTACTATCAAAACTTCAGGATTATTCTTTGTGGCTTTTCAAGAATTCTTCCATGCCGAGGCTTCCACGACATCACTCATTCCTGGAATTCTTCAAATCATCTATAGTTCTGCTTGTAAGTCCACTGTTAACAATACATGTAGTGATAGAATTCTCCAAATCATCTACAGTTATGTCTTTAAGTCCACTGTTAACAATAGTGATAGAATTTTCCAAATCATCTACAGTTATGTCTTCAAGTCCACTGTTAACAATAGTGATAGAATTTTCCAAATCATCTACAGTTATGTCTTTAGGTCCACTGTTAACAATAGTGATAGAATTCTCCAAATCATCTACAGTTAGGTTTATGAGTCCACTGTTAACAAGAGTGATAGAATTCTTCAAATCATCTATAGTTCTGTCTTTAAGTCCACTGTTAACAATAGTGAAAGAATTCTCCAAATCATCTACAGTTCTGGCTGTACCTCCACTGTTAACAATAGTGATAGAATTCTCCAAATCATCTATAGTTCTGTCTGTACCTCCACTGTTAACAATAGTGATAGAATTCTCCAAATCATCTGCAGTTCTGTCTGTACCTCCACTGTTAACAACGTAGAGATAGAATTCTCCAAATCATCTACAGTTCTGTCTGCACCTCCACTGCTAACAATAGTGATAGAATTCTCCAAATCATCTACAGTTTTGTCTGTACCTCCACTGTTAACAGGAGAGATAGAATTCTCCAAATCATCTGCAGTTCTGTCTGTTCCTCCACTGTTAACAATAGAGATAGAATTATCCAAATCATCTACAGTTCTGTCTGTACCTCCACTGCTAACATTAGTGATAGAATTCTCCAAATCATCTACAGTTCTGTCTGTACCTCCACTGCTAACAATAGTGATAGAATTATCCAAATCATCTACAGTTCTGTTAACAATAGGGATAGGATTCTGTCTGTAAGTCCACTGTTAACAATAGTGATAGAATTCTCCAAATCATCTACAGTTCTGTCTGTACCTCCACTGCTAACAATAGTGATAGAATTCTCCAAATCATCTACAGTTCTGTAAGCAATATTGATAGAATTCTCCAAATCGTGTTCGGTTCTGTTTGTATGTCTACTGTTTACAATAGCAATAAAATTCTCCTAATCATTTAATGTTCTGTCAAGTCCGCTGATTAAGCGTGTTAATTACTATCCATAAGTGTATTCTTGGGTAAATATGTAAATATCATAACGTAATCTTTTGAATACCACTTTGACCATGATCGATTTCTGTGAATTTAATTACTATTTACAAAAAAAGATATTTAATTTAATTGTTTCGTTATGAAATGTATGGAGATAACGAACAGTATTCAAGCTCAAAAGTCCATTATACAATACAAAAGAGGAGCAGAGCAAACACGGACCTCCAAACATCAGAGGTGGGATCAGGTGCCATGGAGGAGTGAGCATCCCCTGCCGACCGGTCACACCCGCCGTGTGCTCCTTGTCATGATCGGGAAATAACGGAAAAATCCGCTGACAATTCAGTGTGTAAATAATGGCCTAACAATTAGTATGAAAAACGTCAGTCAGCATTTGACTCAATGATAAATTGTATTTGCTGACAAGGTCATTGTATCGACCATAGAACTTACGAAATGATGACTTTAAACGAGACAGCTGATATTCTTGTTTCATCAACTTATTTGTCAATAATTTACCTCGTTTTAGAAATTGTACATACGTAGAGCATGCTCTTGCGTATCAAATCAACTGAGAGATATATACCCCGTATGCAGGTGATGAAGGTATATTGCTGCATAAGTAAGGGAAGTTGACGATTGAAAAGTTAAAGTCATCACGTTTATCATAAAGCTTGGTTGTTAGATTACCATTAACGTCTTTTTCAAGTAAAATATCCAAATATGAAACAGATGTGTCAGACTATGTGGTATCTTTTATCTCAAGTTCACCAGGATATATCGTATCGACATAAGAATGAAAATAGCCATTGTTAATTGACAATACGTCGTCGATATATCTAAATGTCGAGTTGAACGCCACAGCAAGTGTTTTCTTCTTTTCACGTAAGATTTTGGACAAATTCTGCTTCATATGAATACAAAAAAAGGTCTGCTAATAACGGGGCGCAATTGGTACCCATAGGAGTTCCAATAGATTGTTGGAAGACCTGGTCTCCAAAAACCACATAGATATTGTCAATCAGAAACCCAAGCATCTTTTTAATGTCAACTTCAGAGTACTTGTGTGTACAATCAGAATGTTTTTTAACAAAATAATTTTGCAAATGACCAATGACAAGGTAAGTATATTTACAAGTTCCATTTTTATTGAAAAAGCAGCTGTCAATGATATCAAAAAGCCTGGACTTTAATTTATCGTGGGGAATGGTTGTGTATAAAGTTGAAAAGTCGTAAGTTTTTAAGCTGTTGATTTTGGTAAAATCTTGTGATTTCAAATTTTCCAAAAGTTCCTTGGACTTTTAAGTATCCACATCTGATTTACACCACTTCTCGAATATATTGTTGCACAGTACTCTTGAAGTTTCTCCTTCACCACTGTTAATATCTTAGTGAGGAGTAAAGATAGAGGCTTGGTTGAACATTTACTGGAACCCGCTATGTATCTTTGTTTGCAAGGATTTTTATGAAGTTTCGGAATCCAATATAAATATTGTAATTCGAATTCATTTTGGTTGTTTGGAATATTAAAAATATTCAAAACTGACATATGATTTTAAAGAATTTCTTCCTTAGAAAGGGAACTATGAATATAAGTTGGATTACCACTTGTAGAATTAAATCCAAGTTCCTCTAAAATACATTAAATATAATGAGCCTTACAAACAAAGACAATGTTGTTACCTGCTTTGTCAGCAGGGACCAGTACGTACTGATCATGTAATCTATCTAATTCGTTTTTCACTTCGGATTATTGAATACAGAAGGATAGATGGTTTTCATATTGCCTCTCAATCTTTTAATGCGCGATTTTAACATACATCTGGGACATTTAATCCATTCTGACAAAGTGTCAAGGTCTTCTTTTTCATGTCTGGCCCATCGCCTGGCGTAGTCCTCTACAGAATCCATAATATTTATGAAATTCTTACGCCAGTTGAAGGATCTGGGTTCCCTAAATTTAGGACCTTTTAAAATTAGTGATCTAAGGTCCTCATTATTTATTAACTATATTTACGTCACCAGTAATAACTTGTCCAGCAGGACTATAGTTATAGGGCGAAGAAGAACATGAACACGATGGAGGATTATGTTTATGTTATTTTTAAAAACTGGTTAAAAGAATTTTGTACCATATTAATGCATTTTAAGTACTTTACATGGATGTTCATGTTTTCTTCAATATGGTCTGTTTTTTTTTTTTTACCTTCTTACTTCATGTGCTTTTTCCTTCTCTGTTAAAAAAGTGGGATTCTACGTCTGCTCTTCTTGTTCTTACTTTTGGACTTCACCATTTATCTGTGTTAATTATATCCAGGAATCTTTTCGGCACTCCCTGCTCAAAAAAATTTGGACTTCACCATTTTTTTTATGTTTATTATACAGGATTCTGTTTCAAAACTCCCTATTCTAACCTTTCTCTGTGGTAATTATACAATTCTGTTTCATCATTCCCTATACTAAGTTCATCATTTAAGCATTGAATTTTTATTTTTGGATGTCGTCGGTCTTATTGCAACACCAAATTGAATACCGAGCGGACAAGTGCTGTTATAGGACCGGCGACATCCAAAAATAAGAATTCAATGCATATATTCACATCATCTAATTTTTCTCTCTTATTAATTGTTAATTTTGTTAATCTTTATTATGAATTTAGCGCCTTTCAGAACTGTTGTGCTTAATAGACGTAAGAGCCGTTGTGAAAGTTAAATAACGCAAATGAATATTGGGGGGGAAAAACATATTAATTTTAAACGCACAATTGTTATAGTTTTACAATAACTTAATAGGGTTATTGTTTTTAAAATTAATTGAGCTAAACAATATACATTCTGTTTTTCCTAGAGTATTGAAAATGCATATAGTTCCTACTGTGTATTCTACCGCGCAGTGACAAGGTTTCGCATGTGTTATAGGTATTGAATGTTGTAGATTTCCAATGAATTTCATAACGAAATTACACTGAATGTAAATATTTCTCTATGTATACAGAATTCTGTTTCACTCCCTATACTAACATTTCCACTTCACCATTTCTCTGTGTTACATTATACAGGATTGTTTTTCAGCTTTCCCTATACTAACATTTACATGTAATTTGACGTCACCATTTCTCTGTGTTAATTATTGAAGAATCTGTTTCGGTTTTCCCTATATACTAACATTTGGACTTATTCATTTCTCTATATTGATTATACAGAATTCTGTTTCAGCACTCCCTATACTAACTTTTGGACTTCACCATTTCTCAGTTCGTCAGATGATAATTGTTGGGGGATTTCTTGGGTCCACGGCGTACTTCATTGGATTCTTTGCAGACCGTATCGAGATAATTGTTATAACTCATGGAGTCATCTACGGTACGTAAACATATGACGATGTGTGAAAATAATTTGCATTTTCAGATTTTTTCAAGATACTGATTAATTAAATATCCTGAACTTTTTTTTTTACATAAAATGGGAAAATAGTTAGTTTTTGATGGTTTATCTTAGGTATGGGGTTTGCTACACTCCACGGGCCGGCGGCCTACCTGATTGGCACGTACTTTGATAAACGTCGGGCACTAGCTAATTCCATCCTAGTGGCGGCCTCTGGTTTTGGCGGCCTCGTCCTTCCGCCCCTCTATCGATACCTGATGGATGTGTACGGTCTACAGGGAACCATGCTTATCTTGTCAGGGATTTTACTTAATGTTGTGGCTCTAGCGGGATTGCTTAAACCACCCTCTTTATTTGCACCGAAAGAAAAAGTCACCATTGAACCTCGTTATAAAATTGTGCGTATTCGTGAAATAAACAGAGGTAGGAGGTACTCTCCAATAATGACAGGAAAGAAACGTTCAATTTCTCTTTGTGAGAAGGCACCGTCTTCTAAGGTGGAACACAGTGAAGGATGGGGAAGCTTACCCCACAATCTGAATTCTAGAGCACACCACAGTTCTACTCTTTCACAAAGCTTGCAGAGTTTAGGAAGCAGTGATGCCATATATAGCCTTTCTCAAACCGAGTTAGAGGCGCCTTCCACAAATAGAGAGAAGAAACAAAAAATCCTTGATATCACGCTGTTAAAGAAGCCTTTACTGCAGCTATTTTTGTTTGTTTATTGTTTTGGAAGCATTGGCTCGGCCTATGGTCATATTTTTATTTCTCCATTTGCACGTGACCAAGGATTTACTACAAATGATATTTCATTGCTGATCTCTATAACAAATATGTGTGATTTCCTTGGCCGGTTGATGTGCGGGGTGATAGCCAATCAACGACTAATGAAGAACTCTTCTCTTGTGGCCATCAGTCAGCTCGTCACTGGAGCAACCTTGGCTCTCTGCTCAGTTTATAGACCGTTCTGGAGCTTTTGTGTCCTTGCTGTCATGTATGGTCTGTTTTCAGGTGCCATTTTCTCTATGACGCCCGCTATCATTGCAGACTTTGTTGGCATGGAAAATTTCAGAACCTCCTTCGGTATTCTAATTCTAGGCCAAGGATTTACTCTTGGTGGAGGTGCTCCTTTATTAGGTAAAATTTTAAATGAAATTTAATTTTGACATTTTTAACAATGTTTATATACATCAAAGCAAACAAGTTATAAAATTATATCTAATGATAACAAAAGAAGATTGTCTGTGCTTTTTAGGCTATCTCCGCGACCTATCACAGAGCTATACAACCTCTTTCTACTTTATGGGTTCTCTGCTGTTAGTGTCTGGTGTCTCTTTGTTATTAGAACCGTGCGTTCGATCTCGGCAGGAGAGGATGGAGTCCAGAGAAGAAAAGTCAGAGGAAGTGACATTGTCTGTATGATACCCAGCCTATACTGACGTCTAAACTATGTGTGATCGCTAAGTCGTATTTATTTTTAATCATGTCGGCTATATCTCAAATACAAAGCTGTGCGAATTAAGGAGATGCCTATATCATTTTATATGCTTCTCATAAAGTAATACAAAATTTCATAGACTTTCTAGAATGGAGGGAACAAAGGTTCGATGTGTATATTATTACACTAAAATGCGATGTTTTAACATTATCTTATGTTATAAAATAAAGTTAACCTTATCAGTTTGAATTCTGAAAAAAAAAGTTATTTTGAAATTTAAACACTCAAATATAGGAAAATCGTTGCACTTTCAATACTGATGATCTGTCAAAAATACTATTTATATACATTTATTGATTTCATATTGCACATTTTATGCACTATACAAATCACCCTTCAATTCATTTCAAATGAGAAGTCTAAACCTTTCTTTGTTATGTATTCCCACGATTATCGAATTCGTCTTCCCGAACAACATGGTTGAGGGATGCATATGTTTAGGGCTCTACGTAATTATAGTAAAGAACTCATTCATATCCATCGACAAAATATTAGTTTACAAATATCTGATCAATGTTAACACAAGAGTGCAAATTAAGGCAGGTCACTCGTCTGCCACGTATTATAAAGATAAGCTACATTCTTAATTACAAAAAGTTCAGTCTTGCATTCCGTCATATTATACATTTTTTATTTATAGTTTTCTACTTCCTTCTTAAGCTCTATACAAAATTGCTAACGCAATACTCGGTATTTCCATAGATCTGCAAATACGAAATCTGGCTTATCGACACGATTAAATCGAATTTGCACATGTTTTTATTTCAACCACGGACGTATATACTAAGAGTATATCAACACAACACACTTAAATGACCCTCTTGCGCAAACTAATTTCCCGTAGCCGATTGTGCACCATTTGTGCGCTGATATAAGGTTGATGGTTAACAATGGTGGTCAGAGAGGTTGCAACAGCGATGGTGACCTTGTCTCCCAGACGACATCAAGAAAAATGTCTAACATATAGCCTAGTGGTCACTTACGTTTGACCCTGGTATGGTGTCTAAATTTTGTATTTACCCACAGCAAACATTTTAACATTCCTTAATGTAGTCAAAGTACTCTCAACCAGTAAAACAACAATTTTTTAATTGTTTTATTTTGAAACAGACATTTCCAAAGGAACACCTTGCAGACATAACAACTACCCTACCACGCTCTTCTATGGGCAAACACTGCATACCCAATCATGTTTTTCTGAGTTTCTTGATAAATGCAAGCATAAAGGACGCAATTTGAAACAGAAAATGAAAAATTATTCCTCAAAAACATGTGAGTGCGATTTTCATGGATTTCTATAAAATGGTTAAGCTTCAATTATCATATATTTATTTACCTATTTGGGCATTTAAACATATTACTTTTAATCATGGTTATATATTTGTATATCAGATACGTCTTAAGCAACTTTTGGAAAAGTAATAAATTATTTTTAAAAATTATTATGAAGTATGGTGATAACGAACAGTATACAAGCTCAAAGTCCATTAAAACAATACAAATTAGGAGCAGAGCAAACACGGACCTCTAAGACATCAGAGATGGGATCAGGTACCATGGAGGAGTGAGCATCCCCTGCCGACCGGTCACACCCGCCGTGTGCTCCTTGTCATGATCGGGGAATAACGGAAAAATCAGTCGACCATTCAGGGTGTAAATAATGGCCTAACAATTAGTATGAAAAACGTCAGTTAGTATATGACTTAATGATAGATTGTATTTGCTGACAAGGCATTGTATCGACCTTAGAACTTACGAAATGATGACTTTAAATGAGACTGTTGATATTCTTGTTTCATCAACTTGTTTGTCAATAGCTTGCCTCGTTTTAAGAATTGATCATACGTAGAGCATGCTCTTACGTATCGAATCAACTGAGAGATATACACCCCATATGCAGGTGATAAGGGTACATTGCTGCACAAGTAAGAGAAGTTGACGATTGAAAAATTAAAGTCATCAGGTTTATCATAAAGCTTGGTTGTTAGATTACCATTAACATCTTTTTCTAATAAAATATCCAAATATGAAACAGATGTGTTAGACTCTGTGGTATCTTTTATTTCAAGCTCTCTGGGATATATCGAGTCGACATATGAATGGAAATAACTATTGTTGATTGATAATAAGTTGTCGATATATCTAAATGTCGAGTTGAAGGCCACAGCAACATATTTCTTTTTCTCATGTATAAGATTTTGAATAAAATCTGCTTCAGAGGTCTGCTAACAACGGGACGCAATTGGTACCCATGGGAATTCCAATAGATTGTTGGAAGACCTGGTCTCCAAAAACCAAATAGATATTGTCAATCAGAAACTCGAGCATCTTTTTAATATCAACTTCAAAGTACTTGTGTGTACAATCAGAATGTTTTTTAACAAAATAATTTTGCAAATGACCAATGACAAGGTAAGTAAATTTACGAGTTCCATTATATTGAAAAAGCAGCTGTCAATGATGTCAAAAAGCCTGGACTTCAATTTATCGTGGGCAATGGTTGTATACAGAGTTGAAAAGTCGTAAGTTTTTATGTTATTGATTTTGGTAAAATCTTGTGATTTCAAATTTTCCAAAAGTTCCTTGGAATTTTTAAGTATCCACACCTGATTTACACCACTTCTCGAATATATTGTTGCACAGCACTCCTGAAGTTTCTCTTTCACTCCTGTTAATATTTTAGTGAGGAGTAAAGAAAGAGGCATGGTAGAACATTTACTGTAACCCGCTATGTATCTTTGTTTGTAAGGATTTTTATGAAGTTTCGGAATCCAATTCAGTAAAGTGATCTGAATGACGTGGGAATGTAATATTTGTGGTGATTTAAGATTTGTGACATGAGAAATTGGAGTTACTTAATTTTAACCTTAATAGTACATTATTTTCATTCATCGGCTTTTCATACACTGAAGGTTACTAATGTTCTATTTAGTGGGAAAGCCCTTACAGTTTATTTCTCTGAAATATAAAGTAGGGCCTTTCCGTCGTAAAAATAGAACTTTGTCATGAAGTTTGGTAAAAAGAACAAACAATTTTAAATAGAAGACACGAGAAACCACTATGATGATATGAGAAATATTTGGTTCTTCAAACACGAAAAGAAATCAAAATAGGATATAAACGTTGATGTGAATGCAAGTTAGCAAAAAGCGGAACTTCACATTTACAAAAACCAGGTACAGTCTAATTTGAAATTATATATTGTTTATACTAAATTTGACCAAGGAGTACCTGATCAATACATAGGCCTCAGAGTCTGCACGTCAGTAATGACTTTAAAAGTGTATGATTCATTGATCTACTATAAATGACTGTTAATAATCTGTGCGCTAATTAATTAGCTTTCTTACAATCATTCCTAATTAATACACGTCATTAATTCTATTGAAAATATTGACTTCTATTTAAGAAAGTGAGCCCCAGTGTTCCACCATTAACCAAGCATAATTCGTCTTTGGTTCCCCTTAAGTATTATACATTTATAGCTCTGTTTTAATTAAGAAAATACACTTTATATACACAAAATTTTTCAAGCCTTGATACGCTGCGCAGTTTTAAAAGTTGTTACTATACTAAACATTAATCTTAAATCCTCATAAAGAAATGCTGTACAAAAGTTGATAATTGAATAGAGGAACAATGACTTAATTGGGACTTTAAAATTAGGACGTTACAGGTTTGAGTGACCTCCAACAATATTAACCTGACTCTAATTATCTTCATATCACGTTCCCGGACACCAAGCCTGTGTCACATTAAACAGGTCTTGAAAGGAAGACTAATTGTTCATAGTTTTTTGTCCTTGAACAAATATATATATATATATATATATATATATATATATATATATATATATATATATATATATATATATATATATATATATATATATATATATATATATATATATATATTTTAAAAATGTAGATCAATCTATGTATAAAATATGTTAAGATCTTGTTATTATGGATTTACAGATTTCAGGTTTTAAATAGTGTATTTTTGAATCACAGCTGGTTGACATACTAATTTAACCCCCTCCCCTTCTAAAGCACCATCAGAATATCAGTGTGTGATAGGAAATCAATTCCAACATTTTTCTTAAATAACAGAACCAATTAAGTGAAAGAATAGTCGAATAATATTCGAATATTCTTTTCATACATATTGAACTAAAAAACAATTATTATTTTTATAAATTTTGTAAACAAAATGTATTTTTCAATATTTTAACTTACTCTTGTAGCGTAGAGGGTATGAACATGCTAAACACATCCAACATCCTTGAAGTAATGCAGAAAATCATTTAAAAATGGGGGGGGGGATGATAAAAATTATGATATGTTTTAAAAATTGAAATCAAGTATAATTTCTTCTTACACTGAGATTCAGGTTTTAACCCTTAATGTATAGTTTAACATGAAAGAAATAAAAACAGTTTTGTCTCTCTAGTATGAATAAGTGGTACAAAATTTCGACAAGTCGATTTGAGTTCTGTTTCTAAATTTCTTCCTGGTTTAGTGATAATGTGTTTTCGCATAAATTTCTGAAATCCGCTTACACTGTATGTTTAATGATAAGGAATAATTCTCACTTCCACTTCTCAGTCTTCTGATAATGTAATATTTTGTCTTTGGTTGGTAAGTTAGTAATATTCCTGGACAGACATGAAACACAAAATCATAAGATCCGATTAATCACTTGGTACACAAAAAAAAAAAGAAAAAAAAAAAGAAAAAAAGAGAAAAAAAAAAAAGAAAAAAAAAAAAAGAAAAAAAGAAATTGGTTGATATTTTTGGATTAATTTGGCTGTAGGATATGCAAATACCAAATTACTAAAATATTTAGAAAACGTACAATTTTATATTATCTAAAATTTTAAGGTTTGCAGTTTCCGTTATAACTTGATATTAAATATGAAGATAACGAACAGTATTCATCTCGAAAGTTCAATGAAACGATACAAATTTGAAGCAGAGTAAACACGGATCTCAAAATTTAGAGGTCGAATCAGGTGCCATGGAGGAGTGAGCATCCTCTGCCGACCTGTCACACCCGCCGTGTGCTCTTGTCTTGATCGGGTAATAACGGAGAAATCCGTAGACTCTTCAGTGTATAAATAATGGCCTAACAATTAGTATGAAAAATGCCAGTCAGCATTTGACTCAATGATAGGTTGTATGTACTGA